TTGTCTATAGCCGAGGCGAGAAACGACCACATTTCTGTCTCTGATAAATGTTCGTCAGGAGTTCTTTTTATGTTACCCTGACACATTTTACGCTTCATAGGTCGAAAAAGATTCTACTCTTTAGTTAACCAGTAGCGACACCGAACCACAGCTTCAACGAATCCGCCAACCAAATGAGTCTTTGACTTTGTCCTTCGTCTTCCCACTTTCGTCTTTCTCGGTTTCAAAATTTATCGTTTCGTTCGGTTTCTTGATCCCAAAGGTTTCTTCTTTTTAAACAATACCGTTCTAGTGTAAAAAAGAGAACAAATTTGCCCTTTTTGACCGAGTAAGGTCGCTTCTGTTTAGCGGTTGCCACGAGCGAAGCGACAAAATGGCTTCGTCTTGTTCGCCTTTCAAAGGAGCTTTTCCTCGGTGAAATTGTACCCAAAAACACGCAACGTTTTCTTATGATGTTTCTTATCTATTATACTTCGGAATACACTAAGTTTCGGCGTGAAACAAAGCCGTTGAAGGCTATGAAACGTAGATTAATTTAGAAACGAAACGAAATTAATATATACGTCCTTCCCCAACAAGAACCACACACTCACGCACGATTTCCTTGATGACGCACAAATAGACTTGTTCATACAGGAAAAACAGGTTTTCCAGGAGTCTCGACCAATCAGAATGGCTATTTCAGCACAATGGTGACGTCACATGACGTAAAACAATCGAGAAAAACAGGTTTGAGCGGGCGACACCCGCATGACGGGAATGTAGAGACTTGCAATATGTCCATATATGGCAAAGCATAATCAATAATAACAAAAATAATTCATTACATAAGGTTAAGTCCCAAGGGAATACATACAATGTCATTTGGCACGTTTGTGGGAATTTACCATCAGACTTACTTAATATGATATATTTATCTTTACTAGTAAAAACGACATCCAAGGCTCCAAGCATTTTAAACATTGACATTTTATAGATGTATTTTTAATTAATAGTGTTACAATCTCGTGTGGGAGGAGAAAAAGAGGGAGGGGGAAGGTACGTTAACAACTGATACATTTGGAATAGGAGCTGACATTCTGAAATGCATTCACTATAGTGGATTACCAGGGTCATAAAGTTGTTTTTTCATCCACACATAGCCTTTGCTTCCTCTTTCAACATTCTTGCTAACTGATGATGAAATCTGTTTCTTTGGTGCTGAAGGTATTGATGGTGGTGGTGGTGGTATTGATAATGGTGGTGGTGGTGGCGGTGGTATTGACAGTAGTGGTGGTGGTATTGACAATGCTGGTGACGATGGTACACCACTTTGAGAAGGCTCTGTTATTTCTTCAGTTTCTAAATCACTTGCAGTCTTTATTGAGTCGATCCTCTTTTCATGCTTAGCATAATCATCTGCCTTTTCAATCTGAAATTGTATTTTTCAAAAATTAAATAGATTTCATTAAAAAATAAGGCTTTCATTCACCACCAACATCATTAAAGAAGATTGACAACTAGTCCAACAAGTACCTGTGATTTTGAAAAAAATCTGGAAACTTTTGTTTCAGCAGATACTGGTGTTGATAAAGAGTAACCAAGATGTTCATAGAATGACTGTTTGTTTTTTGTTGAGAGATGAATAATTTCAAACCCATGCCTAGTACATGAACACACATTAACACCAAGTAACAACATTGTTAAAGTACAGAAAATTAGTTATACTGTACATTCTAATGATCAGATGACAACTAAATACCCATTATTTCATACTCCATACTTTAGAGCGAATTCTTCAGTATGTCTCATTATCATTTTGCCCAAGCCACATCCTCTTAAGGTTTTGTCTACAATTACTAGAAAAATACCAAAATTATCAGAATTAAATTGGTGACCCAGTAAATAAACACATAGAACCTGCCCGGCAGTTCTAATATATATGTTCAAATTTACCTGATTCAACCAGAGCCGAGTTTGGTTTTTGCAAAACTTTGGAGAGGCGGCTGAATCCCACCACTGTTCGTACATTGCCAGCTGTTGAGACTTTTAGTAAAACAAAGGAGCAAGGTAGATCATCTGACGACTGACTAATGACATTGCATCTAGGGTAAAGTTCAAAATTTTTCATTATCAGTTATTCCACTTTTGACTAATGGGTTAATTTCAACAAAAACAGTATATTGACTGAGTGAACTTCTGCTGTAACTGACATGGTTGGGCCCATATGCATATTGGTGGTTTTCACTAAGAACTACCATGAGCAGATGGTGGTTAACTAGCTAGCAGACCAGTAACCATCATCCGCTACTTTACACCAGTACTTAAAACCACCAATACTTGTGTTTGTGTGTTAAATATAGAGGCATACCTCGCTTCAAGGGATCTTGGCCATTCATTATTAAGAAGCTGAGCTGTTTCTTCCATAACATCTGGTACATCGTGAAGCTTAATCACTTTAAATTCATGTTCCATTTACAGTGATTGAAAATTTGGTGTTGATAGTCATAGATACATTGTTGCTACACAATGATTTGTACCACTATACTCATGAACAACTACTAATAGTTACTGTGTCTGTGGTCAAGCCAATGGTCAAATCTGATTTAACAGCCCCCCCGCCGTTTCCGTCACTGCATATATTACTTTTTTATCCCAGATATTATTTGAAGGTCTTGGAGGGTTTTTGCAGTCGGAAATTTTGAGCGGAAGATTATACACAATATTTATCTCAGCCTGTAAGGCCCTGCATTAATAATAATCTGTAACAAAAAGTCGAAATATATATCGATCTTTACCGTATTGTACAAAATGTTACTAATTTGATCACAGATCAATCATCAATGAATACAAATTGATAATTTATGCAATTATGTATACTATATTCAAACACTGTTGCTGTTGGTATATTTAATTACGGTAACAAAGCGAGATGGAAAAGTCAAGACCAGAACCTCTTTCTGCGAAAGACCAAGGGTATAAAGTAACTCTGGACATTTTTAGAACTAACCATTGCTTTATAACTTTTATTGCATAATTTTGATAAAATATTATTGTATCGTTTGCTTTTAAAGGTCATTTGCGTTCGATACAGTGAACCGACGTATGCCAGTGATACTGACACGTGTCATCGATGCCTCTAGCAAGCTTGCTTCAAAATTGACAGAACAAAACGATCATGTTAGTGTTTTTTAAAAGCAGTATACTAAAACCTAATATTTTATGCACTAACTGGAAGGGGAGTTGTTTCAGTTTCTGTATAAGAGCAAGCAAATGCACAGCCACACGGGGGAGGTTATCCCATCATTCCCATGCCATCTCAAGAACTTTAGTGCAGTTTTACACATAAAATATTGGGTAAGGGTTAGGGGAAAATTTCCAATGGAAACAAGAACACTGCCTTCCCCCCTGGGAGACCCTCCGAGTTGTATCTGAACTCTGAAGGGATAAAATATACCAGTTTATGGAATAAAAAGTGAAGTATAGTAGTATATACCGTGCTTGCACCTAGGATAGTCTGTTATTTATGAATATTAGACTATTAGTACTGTAACAAGTTTCCAGGAAAGGCCACTCAGAAAAGATAATTTTGACATATTATTGGTATTCTTAATAGGAAAAAGCAGATGATGTTAAAAATGTTGTGCACAAGCTATCAGGACTCAAGTATGGAATGGAGACAAACAAACCACTAGAACTGCTAAATGATGACCAAGCTGACACTGAACTCTGGGACAAATGTTTACAAGAAACCAAGTCTTTGGTGCCTGGAAAAGATCTCACCTTTTACACTGGAGCATGGTTGCTATGTGAATGTTACATGTACAGGAGAATATTCCAAGCATTCATTTCAAGGTGGTTTATGTAAACTACTCTTCATAGAGGTCTCGTAAAGCCGGATCATCACTGCTCCAGTTTTACAGGAGTACAGTTTTACAAAAAGATTTTTTGTTTTTTTGCTTTAGTTCACTGTTCAAGGACTATGACCCATTTAGTGAGCAGAAGAGAGAATCATTTTTCAGCACAATGGATTCAGTCAAGTCTCTATCAGAGAATGTCATGAAATGTACCAGCACACTTACTGAGAGTTCAAGTGATGATGCTGTGAGGCTGGAGTTCGAGACTTTGTTACAGGTGAAATAAACTAAATGTCTTTGGTAGGGACCTTGTGAACAATTGAATATACTAGCTTGTTATAGTATTGTTAGATAGCTCTATGACTCCATCAATCTTAGGCTGTCTTAACGAGCCACCTCTTATTGCCCAGCCCCGTTGTAAATTGGTAGAGCCCAGCAGGATGTACTCTACTCACTGCAACTGAAAAACTATATATTTAATTAATCAAACAACTTAATTTCCACAATCAATATTTTCATAATTCTGTACTAGTTCTCACTGTGGGCAAACAAGTGTGATCTGTCAGTGTCAGGTGGTGAAATCAAGGATGGTCAACATACCGGTATGGCTGAGCAACTCCAGCATCTCAAGGCCTGGATCCTAGTTGATAATACCTCAGAGGTTTGGGAACTACTCAGAACCATCGACCGCAATGCAGATCATGAGATCCACATCGACTTTGTTCTAGACAACGCTGGTTTTGAAGTTTTTGCTGACTTATGCCTGGCAGAATTCTTACTCTCCCTCAACCTGGCTAAAACTGTCTACTTTCACGTAAAAAATATTCCTTGGTTTGTGTCGGATGCTTCTGAAAAAGATATCGATTGGCTAATTGAGCAGATGAAGAAATCAGAGAATAATTATGTCTCGCAGCTTGGGGTGAGATGGCAAGCTAGGTTTAAAGATGGTTCATTTCAGTTCAAAAAGCATATATATTGGACATTAGCACATGACAACAGCGAAATGAAAGCCACTGCCCCAGATTTGTATGCAGAATTGAGCAAAGCCAAGCTAGTGTTTTTCAAAGGTGATCTGAATTACCGCAAATTAGTCGGAGATCGTAAGTGGCCACACACTACTCCTTTTGCTGAAGCATTGTGGGGATTCTGTCCTGCGCCATTGTGTTCCTTACGTACCCTGAAAGCTGATGTAGTTGTTGGATTGTGTCCAGGACAGGACAGCAAGGCTGAATCGAAAGATAAACAATGGATGGTTAACGGCACTAATGCTGTTATACAATATCAACACAATTTGTGATATGTAACAGACGAACATATCTAGTAATACTGGTGCTGACTTATTAGAACGTTTTAGATTAAAAAAAACAATCACTTAATACAATTTTAGCATAAATTATGACTATGACAATCAAATCTGTCAAAAAATAATTTATTATCACCATTTTGTGTGTGATCTGATGTGCATTATGAAAGAATGGTGTTAGTTATATTACAGGCTTCATTGCTCTAATTGCTTTTCTGAATGTTGTCTTTAATTCATTGAGTGAGATAATTAATTAGGCATATTAATAACATGGCTGAAGCATGGTCTAAACTTCACACTACGTTTAGATGGAATTTTATTTCCCATAGGCTTCAACCAACTTTTCAATATCTCCAATGCTTTGTAAGACATTTGTGAGCTGTTTTTCATCCATTTCAAAGTGCATTGTGTCAACATTCTAAAAATATAAATTCTCAGTTATAATTATATTCATTAATTAATTAATTCATAGTCAACAGCTAATTAATTAATTAATCAAATGGTGATTAGTAATTAACAAAAAATACTAATGAGGTTATTTCCAAAATCTAACCAATACCTCTTCATTTCTAGGATTTTGAAACTTCATTTCAACAATAGCAACAGGGGTGTTCAACTGACTGACATGCCTTGCCTGACTTTTAAAATCTATTCTCCAACTTAGGTCCTTCAGCTTGTTATTCCACCGACTTTTATCCACTAAAATATCATGAATTTTGCTTTTTTGAGACTTCCAGAACTTCACAATTGCAGCAGATTGTCCCTCAGTGATCGCCCCCTGACGTTTCTTCCTCTGTGAGGTCAAGAATGCCTCTAATTGGTTAAAATCCATGTCAGCTACGACGATATTTTTCATTAAAGCATCGCATTTCTTCAACAAGGCGTCAAATTCCTCTTGTGGCAAATCCGGAAAGAGTTCTTGCTTTAAAAATTCGTTTGTTATATCTTCTTCGGCAAAATAAGTCCTTCTTGCAAGCCCATTTAGTAGCCCAACAAAATTCTTGTCAGCAGCGGCCATTTTGGTAAAATGTAGAGGTCTTAACCCCCTGGAGTTAATATTATTTTCTAATACATCAGGGGGGTGTGGTAATTAAATATTATATAAATCATAAACACACTATAAAAGTGGTACACAGTATAATAATGGTATTTGCTTGATTAAAAGTTAAATAATGAAGGTTGCAAAATCTGTTGGTATTTTATTGAGGAAAATCACAAGTCGAGCAAGTAGTGGAAAAGCATGGTTTTCTACACAGCAGTCTTGCACTTCACAATTTTATGATGTGATCATCGTGGGGGGTGGGATGGTTGGGTCAACACTTGCTTGTGCTTTGGGTAGGTTTTTAGATCATACAACAAATCTGGTACAGTCTTAGGGAAGGGTGCTATTTATTTGCATGCATGCGAAAAGTGAACATTTTTGAACATGCATGTGCTGTATAGCTGTCCAGTTTGACAGTTTTCAGTCCATTTCAGCATTAATTAATTGCCTGCTTGTGTGCATGCCATGGAAGTTCAAATTTTATATTAGTGCCGGTTTCACCATGGCCACGATGGGCACCAGATGGTATATACATATTGACACTTAATCTTATTGGAAGCAGGAACTTCTGCCTCTAAATTCAGAGTACTACATATAATGCATGCACCATCTGGATAGTATTTAACTTGGGAGCCTCATTTTCAGGTAAGTGCAACATATCGATCACAAAAATGAGGTTCCATAATAGCCTGGTTGATGTACTTTACAGAAGCATATGGTAAATTATTGACATTATTTTCTCACTCTGATAATTAACTGCCAGATGATCAATGAAATTGACTTATATACTACCCAAACTTCTCAGATCTTCTCATGCTCACTTACTTAATTTGAAATGAGCCAAGTAAATAGTGTGCACATCTGAAATTCAGACTATAGAGAGTGCTGATGCAACTCACCATCACAATGAAGCCAATTTTTAGCAAGCTCCTTGGTAAAGCATTTGGTATTAATACCAAAGAAAATGCAATATTATGGTGAAACATTGACAGGTGGAGATGAGGCACTTCAGGATAAAAAAGTACTGGTGTTAGAAGCTGGACCACAAGTTAAATTGGACAAACTACCAGAGTTATACAGCAATCGAGTTAGCACAGTTAGTTCTGGCTCACAGAAATTACTAGAAAGTAAGTTCTATGCAGTTTTTATGAATGAAAAAAAGGAGGCTGCAGTTTCTAACGGAAAATAATTTGTGAACTATATTGCTTCTCCAGGTGTTGGAGCATGGAAACATATTGAAAATATGAGAGCAAAACCATTTAGAAGAATGCAGGTCATATGCTTTTTATGAGTGGCATGCAATTTTTCACTAGTTGTTTAATACCATCCACAAAAACTGTAATAAAATTTTAAATAACAAGAAAATTGTGGTATTTTATGCTTAATATAATACAATAATAATTATTAATATAATTATTTCTTATTTTATAATTGCTGTTTGATAAATCACATCGCGTTCTATGTCTTCTCTTGTCCTGCAATGTTCATGGAAACATCCGGTCGAGTTATTCCTTTTTTCCAAGTGTGTAACAATAATATACACCCTTCCAGAAAGTATGTTACTTTGGCTATAGAGCCTCGTTTTCGTGTATCCCAGCTTAAACCCAACGTACTTTCCGGAAGCGTGTATTGTAACTTGCTCTGACACAAAGTGGCAATGCATTAACAATAATAGTTATTAAAGCATATATTACCACATATCATCTTCGTGTAGAATATTCTCCATCATTTCCTATTCAATCGCACAAATTACGAATTTTCAAACTCTAGGTTTGGGACGCATGTGGTGACGGGTACCTCACGTTTGAAGCTTCCAATGACCCGCTACAACATGCAGTAAATATGGGTTATATTGTGGAAAATAATGTCCTTGTCACAGCTCTGGAAATGGAGCTGGAAAAGTTGAGATCAAATGTCGATGTTCTGTATAAAACGAAACTTAAGAAGTTCAAAATTCCTCCGCCAACAACGAGTGATGTTGACAGTCCATGGGCTGAGATTGTGTTGGAAGACGGGCAGAAGTTTTCAACTAGACTTCTGGTGAGATCTTGAGATAAAGATTTGAAATCATTACCATCACTATCATCATCACCATGATGACCATCATATAATCATCACCATGCTGGTATCTTCTCACAAGAAGTCTGGCCTTCTTCTTATCTCTCCAAATCACCCAATTTATATCATCTATTTCTACCGCGTAGTCGTTTTCCATCTTCCTTTCTTTCCGTTACCCATTGAGTGATATGCCTCTTGTCTTCTGACATGCCCAAACCATCTCAATCTTGCTTCCTCGATCTTTTCGCCCAGTCAACAAACTTTCACATCTTCATTCCTCCATCATTATTTGTCCCGCGTAGTCTCGGCTATTAGACGCGTTATTTACGCCACTTGCCATTTCTTATTTTAATAAGTTGGGTTTTTTTTCATGGCCAAGGTTGGTGCGGATGGATTCAATTCTCAAGTTCGGAGAAATTCGGATATCAATTGTATCTCTCATGATTACAAACAGAGCGGTGTGGTTGCCACTCTTTGTTTTTCTGAGGTAAATATGTGGTTTTCAAATATTGATTGGTATGTTATGTAGTTTTTGGTGTTAAATATCATACTGTAGTAAGGCTGGTAGTATACAGTGTCAGTGAATTACAACTCTTTTTACAGTGTAAATGTGAATTTTACTTTCTACCATTAGCCTACAGATAACATCGTTGCCTGGCAGCGGTTCTTACCAACTGGTCCAATTGCCATCCTCCCGGTGAGTTCGTAGCCTTCTGTCAATTTTCCTTTCCAATATATACAATCTTTATTGGGCTCATTTTAACTCATGTGGCCTGTATTTGCAGCTTTCTGACAGTCAAAGCTCTCTCGTTTGGTCTACAACAACGAGTCACGCTAAAAATCTCGTCTCTTTACCAGAAGAAAAGTTTGTTGAAGCTGTGAATGACGCATTGGTAAGGAGTCATGCATGTATAAGTAATATCATGCAGAAGATGGTGCTCAACCAGCAATTAAATACACATCTTATCATTACAGACAGAAGATATTGCGAGAAATTCGTTGTCAGAAATGGCATCTAGGTTAATGCACAATGTACTTTCGACGGTACAGCCAGGCAAGGAGTTTATTATTCAATGCTTATTTCCTCTCAATTATAGTAGTAGTTACAGTATCATTTTTGATAATTTGCGGGCTTGTGTACATGATGCAACTGCCTGAAAAATAAGAACCAGCTTCGGCAAGCGAATGCCCTTCGTGACCTTCGAATGGACCATGACTCGTAACCATGTCAAGGTCTATTTTTGATAATTGAATAGATTTCAATTTTGACTTGGTTTTGCATATTCCTTCAGATTATCTTGGTTTACAAATACCTCCAACTATAGAGAGTATTGAAGAGAATAGTCGAGCATCATTTCCTCTTGCGCTGAATCATTCTTCATATTATGTCAAACCAAGAATGGCACTGATAGGGTGAGGAATCTCTACATAACAGCGAAACCTGTGTTGGAACTCGTTTGAGACTTGAAGTAGATTGACTAGCACTTACCGAACCACGTTTAAGGGGACCAGGAGATAGCACTAATGTCTAATGGTGGTCAACATGATAGAGAAATGCTGACAGTTATAGGAGAAGTAAAACGAATCTTCATTTCTCAATTTTAATTTTTTGTTATGAAACACAAGATCACTACATAAGTGAAGAGTTGACGTTATTTTTCACTCTGACCACCATGGCGATTTGTAATCGAAGGAATGACATGCAAAAGACGTAGAATTGTTTACTTCTGAAAAGAGACTCTATACTTTTGTGTGCAAGTTCATTCATTTGCACAAAATCGCCGACAAAATTGCAAGTGTGAACCAGGCTTTACTGAAACCTACCAATGGCAATGCGCTTTCTCATTTGAGCCAGCTGATAACTTAGCGCTAAATAGACTGGGGATACAATAAGCGCCGACTATATTGATAACATAGCACTTGCCAAGTTGTAGAAACAGTAAACGCATGCTCTATTTCAAATTAATCTTTTTCCCAGAGATGCTGCTCACAGGATTCATCCACTCGCTGGACAGGGTGTAAACCTTGGATTTGGTGATGTGGAATGTTTGAGGGACGAGTTGCGACAGGCGGCCATTGACGGTCAAGATTTGGGTAAGAATTACAATTACTTGATTTTATTGAAGAATGAAGTTTGGGTCGTGCGGTCTTTTGAGGTAGTCCAGACACAAACCACGGCAGCTAAAAGCAAGAATAGCCTTCTTTTATTTAATTGCTCCTCTCTCGAAATCATTTGAATTTTTCCATTTATTCCAAGGTTCCCTGGAACATCTTCTGAGATACGAGACAGCACGACAGAAACAAGTGACAGTTATGATGGGAGCAACACATGGTCTGAATACGCTTTTCTCCACTTCATTTTTGCCTTTTGTTATGGTTAGAAATCTTGGATTTCAAATGACAAATGCTTTGACACCAGTTAAAGTAAGTCAACTTCTTAACTCTTGAGTTCCCCGACTAATGATTTGTGATCCAATATTCCGCCCCATGCAAATAACATGTCTGTAAACAACATGTTATAAACATGTTTCCAGCTTGTTTTAAGTGATATTTGCGATGTTACTCTGAGTGTATATCCCACACCGGGCAAACTTGAAAAATATGCTTGCCACGGTGGGAATCGAACCTACGACCTTTGGAATACTAGCCCAAGTGTTGGACTTGGCAGACCCGCTCTCCTTACGCAGAGGCTTTAACCGCAGAGCTAGAGACGTTTGCTCCTAGACTGCCCGCTTACAATAGTTTTGTTAAAAAGGGCTTTCGTTATTCTCTCTAGAAACAAATCGTGGAATATGCAATGAAATAAGATGAATTCGAGTGAACAGTATAGCTACAATGTTGGCAACTTCTGTAAAGCTGGCAAGCATGTTGAACCATAGAACGTTTACACATTGGACAAATTAAACACTGAATATTATTTGTTGTAGAAATTTATTTGTTTATAAGTAAAATAGATATTTAATAAAATAATTGGAAATATCTCGAGGGATATCAGTGCAGTTTCATTTTGAGATCAGGAAGGGTGACTCTAACGGATTTTTCTCCGACCCAGTAAGTTTACCGTATATAGGAATCTTTTTCCGACCCTGGACATTTACCGTATAATGCAGACTTTCTCCGCCATGGACTTTTATCGTATATCCCCGGTGTATGAGGTTCAAAGTTTGTTTTCAAGCACGTTGTCATTGGATAAAAAAATCGTACGATGTTATCTTATCTAGATTTTTGAACTCTTGCAAATATGTCAATATTGGAAATCTGAACATAAACATTTCTGTGGTGTCTGTTTGACGTTTTATTGTTTAAAATGTGGGATAAATTGGGTGAAAAGGAGTTGGTTGTTCAATTTCAACAGTTTTGTGGCCTGCGATGGAAAAATCATAAATCGAATGACATTCACTCAGACTTGGAAATTACGAAATCGGAGACAAAGTCAGACAAATGTTTGCAGAATGGCGGCCTAGAAAATTCAAATATTCAAACCTCAGACTTTGAGTACAATTCTGTAGTTCATGTTCTGTTTTATCTGAGCTCAGCCCTCGGGGATGAACAAGTTCTTATAGCTTTATTGTCGTTTGTGTTGTGGAATATTGATGAAAAAGCTGTGATTAAAGCTTATTTATCATTGGCTATCTCACTGTACTTGGGTCAGGGTGCTAAAGACACTTTCCTTGCCCCACGCCCACCCTCGCCCCCAGTTATAAGGGTGGAGAAAAAGTATGCAGAGGAGTATTCGACACCATCAACCCATGCTATGATTGGATTGGTTGTTCCATTTTCATTGGTTTATTACACTCATGAAAATTTTGAGGTAAGTGCCCAACCATGAAACCACCCCTTTCTGGAACGACTGTGAATGTATCAATTTCTTGACAGTTCCAAACTGAGGAAAATGTACAGAGCAGTTGTCAACAATCAAATGCATTTCACATCAAGTATTATATGCTTACCTAATTACATATTTATAGCACAGACAATTTTATCTTTACAACAATTGTGATATTACTTAACTGTGTTTATCCTAACTCACCCCATCAACTTTTTGTGGGAGGAAACCAGAGTACCCAGAGAAAACCCACGACTTTTGGCAGAGCATTGACTGACTCTTCACATGAGTCTACACATAGGAATCGAACATAGGTTTAGCAAATGTATAAAATGAATCTACAAAACCCTTCTACAACGTATTTTAATGCATTTTATTCTTATTTTATAGTACAACATCTATTTTGCTGTGTTCATTGCAAGTATTTACTCCAGCCTTGTTGCAGCAAGCAGGGTTTATCTTGGAATGCATTATGTCACGGTAAGGCTGTGAAGCACTGCTATAATCCAAAACGAGAAAATTTGTCATATGCAGAGGAAGAGTATCTACTTGTCATAATAAGAAAATGTACTAGGATATCCAAAAGGGGAGAGGAAAGTTCCACCAGGGAGGTGGGGATGGGTTTTTTTGGAATGACCGAAACCAAAATTTTTCCAAAAAGTATGTGATAGAGAAATACAGTTTGGTCTGTGAACAGTCAGCCATCATAATCCTAACGCCAAGTTGGTTGCATGTCTCTCAAATTAGTTGTTAAAACTAACTGCTAGTGTGCTTATGACATATTAGAAAATTGAGATTCAACAACTTGAAAAATACAAGTGAAACTCAACATTTCAAGGGAAGGCCCTTCGTCAGTGGGGAAGTTAAATCATATTAATTAATTACAGTAGATCTCACATACATTCTATAGTCTGTCTAATTGATTCTTTTCCAATTTTAGGATGTCATATATGGAATACTGTTTGAAATCATTATCATAATGGCTGTATTTCCAATTCTAAAGGAATTACAAATAGAAATCTGGTGTCAAACATCTCCAAACATCCTTTCGCTTGTCGTTGTGTGTCCTGTTATGTTGCTATACTTGTACCCAACATCGACACCAATGTCGTACAACACTTATTCGGATACCGCATTAGTGCTGGGATGTGCGGCTGGAGCGTTGGTAGGACTGAGATTTTCAGCACATAATGAAACGTTGATGTCACAATTCCTTGTTAAAATGCAACAAATATCAACACCCAAGCTGATTATGTTTTATGCATTGAGGTTTTCTGTCGGGACAGTGCTTCTCGCTTTAACTCGGATAGTTTCCAAATGGTGTGTTACATCAAGTCTCTCAAAGATGCTACCAAGTTACCGAACAGCAAAACCGTTGAATTATAAACGCCATGTTGAAGTTCCACATAAATTGATCACCTATGGATTGGTTTCTTTCAATGCAATCTACCTTGCTCCCCAGTTTTTCAAACATTTTGGCCTGTCGTAGCTTTGTTCATGAATGGAATTTCCGGGACATTCCATATCCTGCTGTTTCCATTCCATATATCCTGCTGTTCTTTATTATTACCAGTTTTGAAAGTTTTATATAATAAATGAATTTTATAATTAAAGTTATATTCAAAAACTGCAATACATTATATTCAAAACAATCAAATATTTAAATACTTTTTTGAAATTAATTGTGAAATAAATGCAAGCCATATAAGTTTTATTTTACAACTGAACATTAATACTTGAAAATGTGTGAATTAGCATCGAAACATTGTGAAATAATGTTGTGAAATAAACGTTTATATCGCTTGTTTCAAAATCAAATATTTCTAATATTTACAGTGTAATAGTTATCAATCAATTAATAAATACAAGACCAGTACCTTTTGAAATTTTGAAATGAAATCGTGTTGTGGCACAATTTGTGGAGCCATAATTTTCAAGTTGTTATTTAGAGAGCCTTGCAACACCAAGACCTGCAAGTGCTGAAATAATACAATTAAAGGTCTGGTCACAGAATAGAGACAAACAGAAGATAGACTTCTTGGTTTTTCCTATGATTTTGGCATAACCGTAATTCGTCATCAAAATGCTGACGCCATGGTCCTAGCCAGTGTGCTTATGGGAGGCATTCACCCCCCTGATAATATTCAATATGGTGTATGTCCAGGGGGGAATGCCTCTCATAAGCACTGGATTGGACCATGGCATCAGTATTTTGATGACCTGGCAGTGGTTACGCTTTTTTGGCTGAGTCAACCTTCTGTGTGTCTTTATTCTGTGGTTTGGTGTTGTTTCAAGTATGGATGCATCTTAGCAGTGGGGGACTATACAATAAGAGGGTGGTATACAATAACAGTGGTATAAATACCTGGCAGAACAGGTGCTCTCAAAATAAAATATCCATAGAAAGTCATGATAATTTTTTAAATGTAAGTTTTAAATTTTTATAGCAAGTTTTCTGGGTGTGCTCACCAGAACCCTGTCTTGATAGTGTGGGGGGGGGGGGTACATCCCCCTGGTGTCAAAATTTTGATAACTTTGACAAAAAGATAAACATAGCCATCAATTGTCTGAGGTGGTTGTATATATATATTTAAAACCATCATTAAATTCGAACAAAATGGTACAAAGACCATCACATACATACCAGCAGCCACAATGCCTATTGCAGACCTTGCAGCTCGGGTCTGGCCAAATGTATTCCTCCTGATTAATAAATAAGCTGACGAACCAAAACACGCTCCTGCGCCAATTATTTTACACGGCAAACAATCGGGAAGTTCTGCAGCCTCTCGTTTTAATTGTGAATCTGATAAACGTTGATTTGAATCACTGTCAGCCATTCTTACGTCTTTGAGAAAATTGCCATTCCCCCCGGTTTTCTCAGCGGGCGCTGTCCCGACAACTCGAAATTTGAATAAATTTATAAACTTTGGCAAAACTTGCAAAGTTTTACAATCCATTTGCATCCTAGTTTCACGGAGTTGTAGTTATCATTTTCAGAGTTTATTATACAAGAATAATAAGTTTCCAATATGCCTGAAGTTAAAACTGCTGGAAAAAAGACGAATTCACATCGTGTAGCTTATAAAGACAAAGAGAAACCTACGGAAATACGGTTTACTAATATAAATGCGGCAAAAGGTTGGGAAGAGTGTTTATAATGAAGGTTTTTGTGATTTTCCTGTGTTTTGTGGGTATATTAAGATGTTTTAATTGTTTTTTTTAGCGGTTGCCTCTGCTATTCGGACAAGCCTTGGTCCCAAGGGAATGGATAAAATGGTAGTGAATAAAATTTGACATTTATGTTTGTTTTATTTTGACACATGTGTTTGTACTGTGGTTTGTACAAGCAAAAATAATGGGTTGAACATATTTTGTGTGTGAAAGATATCAGGCTTGCATTTGCTTGTAGTCTGATGCTGGATTTTACATCAAAATATGTACAGTGTACAACATTCATATAACACAATTTTGTTATGTATGCAGATGAAGTGATTATTTGTAAGGGACTGTTGTTGACAAATACACATCCTGCTTCATGGACTTGTTCTGCAGTTACTTAACCCCCTACTTTATGGGATGAAAACTGTTTATTGATGAACCCAAGTTATTACACCATTAACACCAAACAGATAAAGTTGGGTTTGCCATGTAGGCTGCCACCGCAAATGTACAGCAGTGCCTTTATTAACAATGTTTCATACATAAAGGTACTACAAGGGTGGACACACACTAACCTGAAGTTCAGACCCTAATTTGAAATAGGGCCTGACACAAAACCTGTCTAGACCGCGGGACGCCCACATGTTATTTTTAGACACAACATGCAATATGATTGACAAGTGTTGTAGATTTTGTTACACAAAAAAATTATATTCTCATGAACATGTCCGCAGAGTGTGCATTTTGCTTTATAATTAAACTTAAAAATTCAAGGTACTTTTATATAAATAAGATTCAGACAAAGATTTAGTTAGTCAGTTCTGTGCACGGCTTGACTGCCAAGCTTTCTCAAGGTCTCAACTCGGATATTAGGGATATACTTTATTAAAACGGGCTAACAACAGCAACAATGAAATTCTCAATCGTACCACGAAGAAGGCGATGTAGCTCAGAAAACAACGCCGGTAGGACCTGATATTAAAAATAAGACTTTTGCCGGTGAAGCCAGTTGGCAGAACATCTTGGCTGTCAACAACAAGCTTTCGAATACATGACTTAGATTGGCTGTTCTTCGGTGTTGTGTGTCCAAAATTTTGATAAAGCCCTTTCAAAATACTGTTCATTTGATTTATTTTCTGCCATAAATCATAAAAGAAAAAGAAATTCGAAGAAATCGATAATGGAATTTGTACGTGCGTTTGACCTTTATATTAATTGTCGCCTTGACCGAGCTATTTTTAAAACTGTTGTTTATGTAAACTTGCAACCAATCAAAATCCTTCATGATGCTGATCAACCAATCAGATTTCCCGTCCACCAGATGGACGGGAATCCCACACTTTAGATAGGTTTTGTGTCAGGCCCTATTCTGTGATTAGGGCCTGAACTTCAGGTTAGACACACACTTGCTGCAAAATACGAAAGATGCCCATATAAGGGCACAGAGCCTCACCCTACCCCCAAGCATGAGAATTCTGTCTCTCACTTCTTGCATACTTCTTGCATACTATAAGCATATGCCTACAAATCACAGTGCCTCGCACTGTTTCAACATTACATTATCCTGCTATATCTCTCAAGATCCAAAGTGGGAATGGAGATGTTACGATAACCAATGATGGAGCTACTATCTTGAAACAAATGCAAGTTTTCCATCCTGCAGCTAAAATGGTGAGCAACAGTGAGATTTTGTATGTGATATAAGAGCCAGAACAGTAAAAAAAGTAGTGCTTCTTTAATGCTAGTTTTGTCAAAATTCAGAATGTCTCAATTACTATACATAATTTCAGTTGGTAGAACTGTCAAAAGCTCAAGATGTGGAAGCTGGTGATGGTACCACAACAGTCGTGGTTATTGCTGGAAGTTTGCTAGATGCTGCAGCACGATTACTTGAGAAAGGTTCTGAGTATTTCATTGTAATTATTAAGGCCATTTATATGGATGAAAACAAGTATTACCTAAGTCCCTAACACACTTGCAATAAATATTCAAATTCTAGCAAGTCATAACTTATTGTGGACAAGTCTGAACCCCTGTTCTTATGTTTTTCCAGGTATCCATCCAATGAATATATCAGATGCATTTGGTGTTGCATGTGAGAAAGGAGTTGAGATATTAAAGAATATTGCGATCCCAGTTGAACTAAATGACCGTGAATCCTTGTTAAAAAGTGCTTCAACTTCTCTCAATTCAAAGGTAACCTGGAATGGCAGTTGGGAAACTGCATCAACTTTAACAATTGAAATCAATAATTCACTGTATATTTGACATAGAAAATTTCAACAAGCAAACATTTCCATGCTGTTCTAGGTTGTGTCTCAATTCTCAAACCTTCTAGCCCCAATATCAGTTGATGCTGTGTTGAAAGTTATTGATCCAAAAACAGCCAGTAATGTTAACCTAAAAGATATCAGAGTCATCACAAAATTAGGGTATGTCTGGTGCATGGTGATAAAATCTACAAATCTGAAAAGTAGTAGTTGTTTTAATTGCTTCTAATTGAGACAAAAATTGGGTTAATTGGTGTTATTATTTTCAGGGGCACAGTGGAAGATACAGAGATGGTTGATGGTTTAGTTTTAGAACAGAAAATATCACATCTGGCTGGTGGAGTCTCAAGTATAGAAAAAGCAAAAATTGGTCTTATTCAATTTTGTTTATCTGCACCTAAAACAGATGTACGCCTATGTTTGTGTATTTATAATTTTATGTACACTATGGCTTACCTATTTTTAATGGAAACTAACTGACATAATATGTACGCACTTCGTACCTATTCTTACAATTGATCTTATAGTAAAGTGCATGAATTGCTTAATGTGTACACATTTTTATAATGCAGCGCGAGTCACGTGATGTGTACGCACTGCGTATCTATTTTTACATTCTTATTTTCAATGTTAAAGATGGACAACCAAGTCATTGTGTCAGATTATACTCAAATGGACCGCGTATTACGAGAAGAGAGGCAGTACATACTAGATTTGTGTAAAAAGATAAAGAAAGCTGGATGCAACGTACTTCTAATTCAAAAATCTATTCTAAGGTACATGCTTGCCCACTTTAGTAAACCTTTTTTCTACCTGGCACAAAAATAAAGCCTCCCTCTGCTGTCGTTTTGCATCATAAACGAATTTTCCAAAAATCTTGCCTTTTCCTTCAACAGGGACGCTATAAACGATCTAGCCCTACATTTCTTAACAAAAATGAAAATTATGGTCTTGCGTGATATTGAGAGGGATGAAGTCGAGTTTATATGTAAGGTACGTTAGCTACGCTTCATTTCCTTGTGCTAAAATTTTAGGCTTAGGCTTACATCTTCAAAGTCAATACATAGCTCCTGCTTTAAATCAATGCTATTTTTATCACAGAGTCTTGGATGTAAGCCTGCTGCAAGTGTAGATCATTTTACACCAGATGTGTTGGCGTCAGCAGAGCTAGTTGAAGAAGTGTCTACAGGCGCTGCTAAAGTTGTAAAGGTAGGCATTCGGGTGTTTCTGGTGGTTCGCTGTATATGTAGTCTGAACACTTTATAATACACCGGCACCATTAACCAATCAGATGCGTTTCATCTGCCCGATTGACCAATCAAATGCGTATTAAGTCAGTAAGAGGTGGTGCAAGTCAAATGTGAACTTCTCTATTCTGTGATTCCCAGCTGTTGTACTTTGGGTCTGTATCGATATACTTTAGTACTGTACCAATGCATATACATGTTTCTACTCGTTTCTTTTTCCAGATAACAGGTATAGCGAATCCTGGCAAGACAGTGAGTATACTGGTACGTGGATCAAATAAACTGGTTCTGGAGGAAGCTGAACGCTCTCTGCATGACGCACTGTGTGTTGTCAGATGTCTTGTTAAAAACAGGTAATGTCGAATCCCAATTTGCAAGTCGACTTGTTTTCTGGCTGTTGTGTTGTTTGCATTTTGATAGTTACCTACCACTGATACACGACTTAAAAATGAAATGCCAGAGTTTGTCTTAGGTAGTGCTGGTAAGCATTAGGCTGGCATTCCGGCTTGACTTGCTACAAGCCCTCGTACAGTAACGCATTGTAACTTGTCTGGCATTGTAAGGAGTATCCACCCTTTCAAGAATTTGAGCTCCATCTTGCAGTTAAATGATACGAGTTAACTTCTAGCAAGTCTACATTCTGGCTAGCATTTGACTTGAACACCTGCTGCAGCAAAACAGATAACAGTATTTCTCTATGTGTCGATCATTCATGTTTGCAGGGCCCTCATAGCAGGTGGCGGTGCACCCGAGACAGAACTCTCCATAAACCTTGCACAATATGCGAACACACTCTCGGGAATGGATTCATACTGTGTGCGAGCGTTCTCCGGGGCAATGGAAGTCGTTCCCTATACCTTAGCCGAGAATGCTGGCCTTAATCCAATTGCAACTGTAACTGAACTCAGGAATAAGCATGCGCAAGGAGAGAAGAACGCTGGTATTAATGTCCGCAAGGTACGTTCATGACGTCATTCACAACTGACTATTGGCATTTCTCTGTACTTTTGATTGACAACTAAATCATTCCTAAGTGAGATCATATAAAATATCGTACTGACAAACGATACTTTGAGGGCCATCATGAAAACTACTGGGTAACCAGTAATGATGTTTTTACCCTCGGTAAATAAAGTATTTTGACTTTATGAAATAGCCACCATTTGAAACTGACATCTTACAAAACACTTTACTAACAGCTGACTGTCCTAGTTGTTTAAGTGCCTGACAGTAGAAAATATTTGAATGAATGGTTATCCCTTACCTAGTTGTTCATTACTAGTTTCTAAAAGGATCTTTCGTGTTACTAATACGTCTGGTCAGTGTTGATAGACATTCATTACCTTTTAGGGAACCATCACCAACATACTGGATGAGAACGTCCTCCAACCTCTGTTGGTCTCTACCAGCGCATTGACTTTGGCTTCAGAAACTGTGCGAAGTATCCTAAAGATTGATGATATTGTAAGTTTCAGCAATACATTTGTGATACAATGTTGTCACTGTAAGAGCAAAAACGAAAGGAAATCTCTCAATCTATTATTACACATGTAACAAATTAACACGGTCTCATTTGTCTTTTCAGGTGAACACAAGATAACATAGTAAACTATTGAAAACAGTGTTGTGAAACTAGTTACTTTGAAACAAGCCCGCTATTCTAAGATGTGTGATGTTAGATTATTAAAAATAAATCTATTATAATACTTTATACAAGTTGTAAAATTATTTTGCGTATGACGTATCATGTAAGACCCTGGATTGTGGCGTGGTTTTGCATCTAAAACCCCGTTCAAACGAGTCCAACGGAAGAGATTATTTCGCTGGCCTCAAAGTGATAAAACGTAACAAAGCAACGGTTTTACTAACACTAACACCAACTCTAACCCTTTCCCTAACCTAACCCTATGCCAAATTTGTTTCAAAAGCAATCTTGAAGAAAAAAGTTTTGACGAAATGTCATTCTGAGGTCAGCGAAATAGTTGATGCCGAGTCCTTGGTCCGACAATTGTGCCAACCCAGTCCAACATCAAACCCAGTCCAACATCAGCCAATATCACCCAACATAGTGTTAAAACGTGGCCAACAATGTTGAATCCAGTAACGTTGGACCAACATGTTGGCCTTGAAGGGTAGCACACACAACAAATAAAACATACTACCTATGCTAGCATGAAACTTTCATTTGTGAAGAGGTTTTAGTCTTTATCAACCAAACACGTATAATACACCCTTCCAGAAAGTACGTCATTTGGCGATAAAACCTCGTTTTCGTGTACCTAAGCCTCTCAATCACGAAAACGAGGCTGTATAGCGAAAGTGACGTACTTTCCACAAGGGTCTAATAGCCCCGCGCTGATCCATCCAGTGCAAAATGTTGCGTGATCGACTTTCGTGATCGAAAGCGATCACTTTCTTTTGAAATACAAACAGTCAAGCGAAACAAATCTCATTTGCTGTTGTTGACTGCACATATTTCAAAAGAAAGCGATCGCGAAGAGTCGATTGTGCGACATTTTGCACTGAATGGAAATTAAACGCGCACTCTGTTGATCGTTAGATGTAAACAACGGTACTTCGAAACTGCATAGCGCCACCTTAATTAAAATAGCCCGTTCGCAGAATGATCGGATAAGAACGTACCATCTTCGGCCAAACACATGTTAAAATCATAGGTTAAAATCTTAGGAACATGGCGGATGCTGGCAGTCAAGCAAAGGTATAGAAGTTTTGTACAATTTTGAATGAACAATTTTAGAAAATCTCTGTACTTCAAGTTAAAACAAGAACAATCAATTTGAAATAGTTTATTTCGTATTTTTAGGAATTTAAAGAGAAGGGGAACAAGGCCCTTCAGGCTGGCAATTTAGATGAGGCAATACAAAATTATACCGAAGCCATCAAACTCGATCCAAATAACCACGTATTTTACAGTAACAGATCAGCAGCAAATGCTAAGAATGGCTGTTATGATGAAGCTTTAGCAGATGCTAAGAAAACTGTGGAGTTGAAACCAGATTGGCCAAAGGTTAGCAGGCACATGCACACTTACTGACATGCCAGTATGTTTATAGGCGCACCCCCCGTGCCAAAGGATACATTAAATGTTCTACTGGTGTTTGAATTTAGGTACTGGTCATACATTCAGGGGGGGGGGGATATTTGGCGATTTCACTCTTGTTGAGCCTCATTTTCATGATCTGAGAGATTGGGTTTAGAGACCTGAGAGATTGGGTTTAGAGATTGGGTTTAGATATCGATGACCTAAATGCATAAAGATCTCTACCAAGATGAAGGCCTCTAACCCAACATCTCAAATCACAAAAAAAGGCTCTATAGCCAAAAAGCCAAGGGTGTGTTGTTGTTATCACTTGTAAAATAAGTGGATGAAACTAAATAGCTTTATGTACACTCAATAGTGTTCTAAACTGTTCATGTCCAGTTAAGGCTGTCCTAAAGGGACGTTATTGATCACCACTCCTGACATTTACTTAACTTGTCCATCAAGGGGTATTCCAGGTTAGGAGCGGCATATTCATTTCTCGCAAATCCTGAAGAAGCAGAGAAAGCGTACGAGAAGGGACTAGAACTTGACCCAGATAATGCACAACTAAAGAATGACCTGGCAGCACTAAAACAAACCTTTTCTGGTGAGTTTTGTTATCATTGATCTATTGACTCTAAATCTCTTCCTGACCCTATGGCCTAATGCTATGAATCCTATGATATCATATCTCCATCATCACTTTGATCACCATAATCACCACCTTCATTACTGTAAGTGCTTGTGATGATGGTGGTAGCACCATCACCACAGCCATTATCATCACCATGACCACTGCATCACAAGTAACCTATGCTCACCATACCCTACCACGATTGTCAACATGATTATCAATGAGTGACCACAATATATTGTCACTTCCTTGACATGTTGAATCTTTTCAATAAATACTAATTCAATTTCAAAATGTATTTAGGTCCTGGTAAAAGTGTACCTTTAGATAATCCATTCTGCAGTCCAGATCTTATTCCAAAACTTGCATCAGATCCAGTAACTGCTGCATACTTGAAAGACAGAAGCTTTTTGCAAATCTTGAATGAACTAAGAACAGACTCAAAGGCACTTGGAAAGTAAGTTCACATGCAGATTTTGTGAAAATAAAAAAATATCTGCAAATATATAGTAATAGTGGATATACCTTGTTATAGGAAATTAACGATGCACTTTGTAATTTTCATTTATCGTTAGTTAAAAATACCTAGATTTGTTTTATATAACACTAACTCTTCTAACAAAATACAGCATATTAATGTAAACTAAAAACATCAGTGCTCCTCTTAACACTAAACCTTTGTTGTTGTTGTGTTAATTAATTTGTCAACCATGGAGATCAGATTTGCGTTAATACCTAGAAGCAATCCGTGTTAATTTGATGTCGCGTTAATAAGGTGCGTCGTTGATTTCCTATAAGGTATAAGTTAATTAATATCTGCTTATAGGCACATGCACTTAATTACATGATGTGCAATTCACTGCTTATTTATTGAATTCAAGATATTTGCAAGATCCTCGGGTTATGAAAACGTTAGAAGTGGTTCTTGGCATCAAAGTGTTTACAGGTGAAGGACAAGGTACATTGTAGAAAAAATCAAGTGCCAGGGTGGAATTTTCCAACTTGTGTTTGAAGTAAACTGGCAACCTATATCCACCTGTGCTTGGCACGATGAGCTTCGCAAACTTTATGCTTCACAATTTTGTAGCATGAAACCCACCCCCAGGTTCTGTGTGCTGTTCCTTAGTTGTTAATTTTAGTTATTGCACATATTTAGGTTTGTTGTGTTGAACTCTTAATACCCTTTCTTTCTTTCTTTCTATATTATATAATGAACCAGCCAAAGTGTGGTGCCCAGTATAAATTTGTAAAAAACATTGTTCTGTCTTTCAGAAAGTGAACCACCAACACAAGAGAAAAAAAAACCTAAAGAAGAACCAAAGAAAAAGGATATAAGTCAAGAAAAGAAAGATGTACAACATTGTATTGTTTTTACCCATTTCCAGAAATATCAGTGCAGTACCACTGTCACTTAAGATATCATTCCTTACTGCTTCTTCCTTTATGTTAGGCTCTCAAAGAAAAGGAACTTGGTAATGCTGCTTACAAGAACAAAGATCTTGACACTGCCATACAACATTACACCAAAGGATACGAGTTAGATCCAACTAATGTCACACTGTTGACAAATCGTGCAGGTATTGCAGGGTTTTCATGTGTTACCAGAGCACTGCTTCCATGTGTGTTCATACTATTTACCCACAGCTAACGGAAAAAATTAATATCACTTTTCGACTCTGATAACTACAGGGGCCAGTTATTCACTGGAAAGGGATTTTTAATGTTGTAAAAATACTTTAAAAGCTATAAAACTACCATTCCAGACCATACAATCAATAAAAAGAAACTTGTATAAATACTAAAGTTTAATTTGGTTGAAAACAAAACACTATCCAGTGGATAGTGTTATCTGATCTCAAGCACAACCAACCCCAGCTGACCATCATCTGTTGCAGCTGAATAGAGCTTCATGAACAAGAGTGAAAATCCATTCCAAAATGTGTGTTGGGGAGATGTGTCCTGCCAGGATTGACACCCTTGAAACCCACCTATGTTCTACTCCATTAAATATATTTTTCTTTTTACAATTGCACCTCCAAATAGCTGCGCACTTTGAGAAAGATGAATATGACAAATGTATTAAAGATTGTGAGCTGGCTGTAGAACAAGGGAGAGAACACAAAGCTGAATTTAAAATAATTGCTCGGTAAGCTAACTTTTCACTTGTCTTTCAAATGACGAGGACTGTACAGACTAGGTGTGAAAATCTGATCCGTTCGGATTTCGGAACAAAAATCGTCATTTCGGATTGATCAAGTTGTTTCGTAGTCGGATCGGACTTCGATATTCAAAATAAAATGAATTATATATAATAATTATTTGGTTAAATATTTCCACTTGAACGAGAAATTTATTTTATTAATTAAAGGATTCTTCGGATCGGACTTCTTTATCAAAACTCGTATCGGAATTTAAACATTAGCCAATTGTCGGATTATGAAGTTCCAATCCAATCCAATGCACACCTCTAGTACAGACTGCATAAAATTAAATATTTTCCCCAATTTCTAGTGCCCTTGAAAGAATAGGGAATGTTTATCTCAAACAAGATAAAATTGAAGAAGCACTCCACTACTTTGAAAGATCTTTGACAGAATTTCGTTCCGATGCTATTGTGAAAAAGACCAACAAGGTATGGTTGAAATGTTAGAGGACAAGCTTATTGACCACATCCAACACTGGTAAAACCTACCTGATTACTGCAGTAGTTTTGTCTGATCATGTTGCACACTTATCAATATCTAGCATTATTTTTACACTGGCAGTTAAAGAAAGATATAAAGGAAAAAGAAAACCTGGCCTATATAAACCCAGAGCTGGCAGAGGAGGAACGACAAAAGGGAAATGAGCTTTTCAAAAAAGGTAATCCTGTATCATGGCACCTGGTAAGGAAAGCTGAACAGGACATATATAGGGTGGGATTTAATCCAGTCATTACATATCGTTACCTTTTTCAGTACTTTTACCAAGCTTTAAACTTCTCACACTTTAGGTGCATTTCCCGAGGCAATGAAACATTACACAGAAGCCATAAAAAGAAATCCTAATGATGCAAAACTGTACAGCAATCGAGCTGCTTGTTATCAGAAGTTAGCCGAGCTTCGTCTTGCCCTCAAGGTATGCCATATATACAGTAGTGACTACTTGTAGAGAAAATAATAATTTAATATTTCTTCTTATGCAGGACTGTGATGAGTGTATCAAATTAGATGCAACATTTGGTAAGCTTTGTGTAATATTACTTACAAAAACATTGACAAAAGTTAATGCTGGGTCCAAATTTCTTTGCCAATAAGCCTTTAATATTCTTTAGTTAAGGGGTATACAAGGAAAGGTGCATGCCACTTTGCCATGAAAGAATTCAGCAAAGCCATGGATGCATATAATAAAGCATTAGAACTTGATAACGATAATAAGGTAAGAAAAGTTAACCATCTTTGAAACAGGGTTGTGAATATTTAAATGAATGGATGTTACTCAGAGCACATGCATTGATAGAAAGTGGGAGTAAAGGCGTAGCCTGCATGCAGCCTCAAACCAAATTGAAAAAAATTCAGGTTGAGGCTGCAGCCACTGCATGTAGGTTGGTAAGGACACAGACAGTAAACTAGAGCACAATTTGGATTGCTTGTAAAAAAGAAGTTATAATTACAAACAATAAGCCAATGGAACAGATTATAGCAAGCATTTATTCTGTCAATATAAAAATAATTTATTTATATCCAACATTTCATTTTTGATATGTATAAGTTTTGGGGTGTGAATATACTAGAAAGCTTTGAAAATATAGCATGTGGTATTTTGTGGAAACTTTCACTACCTAATAGTTATTCAAACTGTAATATGACTTGCTGATTCTAGGAAGCCAAGGAAGGTGTACAGAGATGTTATGTGAGTTCTACCACACCTTCTTCAGATCCAGAAGAAGTTAAAAGAAGAGCAATGGCAGACCCTGAAGTACAGGTAGAAATTGATACATAACTTGCAATTACTTTTACAACACAAGTTTACCTGTGAATGTTTGAAATCCCATCTTAAATGCTGTTTTTTAATTATTTATTACATACTGTTTTCCAGGAAATTCTAAGGGATCCAGCCATGAGGATGATCCTTGAACAAATGACAGAAAATTCTGGAGCAATTCAAGAGTGAGTCCATTTGTCTATTTCAATTTAATACTGCCACTTATCTGACAGTTCAGTTTTTGAAGCAAAAGGTCAGCATAGGACATCACTACAATTCAGGAAATCTGTTCTCCCACTTTCACTGGCTGAAATAATATTCAACCCAGCAAAAGTTGGGGACATATTTCCTGAAAATCTTCTTTTTCTTCGATTAGCCATCTCAAAAACCCAGACATTGCAAGGAAGATCCAGAAACTAATGGAAGTTGGTGTAATACAAATGAGATGATTGTTGATTGCATGATGTTCTTTCCACCCACGATGTGCTTTCCATTCACACTTCAAAGAAAAATTACAAGAATTTTACATGGCAAGTGCAAGCCATGCTGTTGCTTGAAATCATTCTCCACTAGAGGCAATGTTGCCTGGTGGAAAACATACTGCTTGGACAAATTTATATGGTTAATTAATTAAAGATTAGTGTCAAATTTTTTATTAATATGTGATGTATTAGTTATGGTGTGTCAATCAGTTACACAAATTACAAGGAGTATTTACTTAGAATCCTGTCACAAAGTATTCTGCAAACTAATTCTACGTTCATTGAGAAGACAAATAGACCTTGTGCATAATGATTCCTGCTTGTGGTCCAAAACTACAATTACCAGAATCTTGGAAAGAGATAGCAATACTTATAAAGAATTTTCTTGTACACCACAAGGAAACATCATGCACACATCTGTGCGTTCATTTATTTCTTTTACCCATGTGAATATTATTAAATAAGGCATTAAACTACGATAATTGGCTACTATTTTTCTTTCTACATTATTTACAAGTAAAAACCTTCATCTAAAAAGAATACAACTGGATTGCAAAGGCAGGTTCCATTTGGCTGCAGCAGTCGTGACCAAGTCAATGTAATTACAATTAATGTGAACTAATCTGGATCAATTATGTCTATTGTGTGAGGTATGGTAATCCACTTGATGACATGAACATATATGCCACTCAGGAATAATATCCTCACCCCCCCCCCCACTCAATTTTCGTCTTATTCTATCATATAGTCGCAATTTGAGGTATCAAGCAGTTAAATTTGGGACTGCTGGGACAAGTGAATGGGTAGTTCCAGAAAATATCCACACTCCCACCGAGGAAATTTCTGCCATCTGGAGAAAAACTTTACTTCTGAAAGTGCATTAGGACATCTGAGGGGGTTAGTTCCAATTTTTTCTATGGATGGTTTCTGGAATAACCCAATTTAGTATTGTGTAAATGGTCCCTATGACATCTTGACTACTTGCAAAGATATATTTTGACACTACATTATCACCTTGACTTAACACAACCAAATGGAAACCTTGTCTAGAGAAGGAAAAAACCAGCTACAAACCAAGGCATCCCATACCAGTGATGTGTACTCCTTGGTCTCCAGCCATGACATGTTGTCAATGAACAGCTTGAATAATAAAACAGACCATTAGATTGGCAGTCTCGAAAGTATTTCCTGCATAATCTAATTCTGATTTGTAATATTTCTTCCTGGTTAGTAAATAATTCCCTTCTCAGCAATCAATAATACACAGAAAAACTATTTAGTACTATCTTTGCTGTGCTTAAAAATTCCACAAGTGTTTAGCATGACACAGTTGCAAACACTGGACCAATGTCTAAATATTGTACAAACTACATGTATTTTATCCTTACTAAAGTACAATAAACCTCTTACATTTGCTATAAGCCAAGGCAGAAGTATTTTACAAAAATTCAAATTATACATTCTTTTGCACAATAACTCCCCAAGGAATACTAAAATGAGAGAATATTTACCTTATCTATTGTTGCAATGGATTATTAATACACAGCGGGTGGTCGTCATGGAATTCAACAGTGTGATCTAGAAGAATTCTGAATCATTAGACCAAATCAATAAAGCTACCTGTTACTTCAAAATAAACATAAAACAACACTTCAAGTTTTCTTTATGTTCAACCCAGTACTTTGCAATTTCGTATTTATAACACACTATTTTCTACGAATGTTTTCTCACCAACTTATAATTTATGTAACAAAATATCAATCAATTTGTAATAGTCAATTTCAAACAAACCTGTTCCCCCTCAGACCTTATTATTTTCAATAATTTTAATTAAGAAACATAAAAACAACATCCAGTGCTATTATGAGGAACGCCAAACATATTGTGGCTGGGATCGCTGCAGGTTTAGGATCTGGGTACTAATTGCACTTGCTTTGTTTTTAATAAAAGTCAAGTTATTAAAATAGCACTGATCTGATGCCAATCCCCAGGTGGATTATGGGTAGTGTGGGCAAAATTATGCAAAAATGTTTGAAATTGACTAGTACTTATGAAGCATATTGTTTGGAACACATTTTTGATCAGCTAAACCATTCCTAACATTATAACATAAAGCTGAATGAATTTTTTCGATCAATATGGTAAAACTACTTTTTCTTTGTTTTTTTCCTTACAAACAGAAAATGTAAGAATTGTTCGACATAAAGGTTATTACCGTGGTTGGTATATTAGTTAATCACCCAAGAAATATCAAACGAACCTTTTGCCGATATTGGTCTGTGTGGGTGGGTGGGTTGTTTGAACATCTGCACACAGGCTCTGCCTTCTTGAAAAACTCCTTACTAATCTCACTGATCAACACATGTCGTTCGCTGTGCTCTGCTTCAAGCTTATATTTTCTTGCCGTAATGAATCATTCTCCTTTTGCAACTGTAGAAATTCGCTTTTTAAAGAGTCAGACATGTCTCCTATTGGTTCTTTTAGGCTGTTGTTGATACCACTAGTACTGTTACAACACAATTGTCTTTCTTTCTCCAAACTGTCTCTGTGACTTTCTAAATATTTCACCTTTTCCAAAAGCTCAATTTTGGAAAGAGAGTAAAGATTGTCACGGTGTAATTGACGATATGTAGTTTCGAAATCTTTCAGAAAGAACTGCTCATTAAAATTGTCCAACTCAGCATAAATTTCGAAGTCATTTTCTTCTCGACTTTCATTATCTGTTGACACCGAAGACGATGGTGATAAATTTAATATTGGTTCAACTTTTTCTCTGTCTTCCATGAGGAATTGTGTAGTGTTTGAAGGCGCTACTCTATGCTTTCTCTGTTTCATGTATTCGTTTATAAATTTTCTTTTCTCTTCCAGTCGCCACCGTCTGCCGCGACGCGTTTTCTTCCGCTTTGAAACTCTTGAATCTTCGCCTAAACACGTTTCTGACATTTTGAAACAAGTTAGGGAAGTAAAATGCATCGAATTGGATTGAAAAATGCCTTCTCGGAATAAAAAAGACGGCTTGAAAACAGACAAAAGACAGCTGTTTAACCCGATTCTTGCGTTGTCTTGTGCAGTCGCCTAAGAGGACGCACGCTTTTAGTTTCAAATAAATCTAAGAAAAAAGTACTTCTTAGATATTTAAAACAATAATTTACTACCTTTCGTCTTTAGGAACCTCCTGAACGTCTTCTTCGCTCCAAAAGTTCAAGCTTTCTGCTATTTTTCAGCTACAAAATGAACGATACCAACGACCATGAGTTGCAATCTTTGAATGACGAACGTTCCTGCAACGTTCGCGGGTAAATATTTCATCACCAAGGATATTCCGCCATATATGGCAATAATAACCTTATACGGTTATCAAAGTCTTCCCACAATTCTCTGTTTGTTTGCTTACGTCAGATATTACTGTAAGAAACTCGATATATATCTCTATTTTAGTATTTTTATGAACTGCCGTTTTAGAACATCCGTAGTCATTTTCCTTAATTTGTCATGGAAATGAATGTAATTTAGAAACAAAAATCTCGTTGTAATTGGTTTCAGTTTCAGAGTTTACAGCATTTTTTTATTCCCAAATTAATTGGTTTCGGGTTTACGACAGTTTCCGAATGAGGAATACATAGTCGAGCTATAACCGAAAGCGCACCGATTATTCCCGATATCATTTCTATTTGTTATTTCAGAAATCTGTTTTTCTTTTATTTCTTTTTGCGATCAATATAAATGGACCCTGCTACGGCGAATAGTGGCGTTTTACAAAAGTACGATAAGATTGAAATGATAAGACTTCTTGTTACGTGGATCAGGCGGCGGATGCTTGCAGACTACTTTATATAACTAAAGGAATTAAATATTCGCCTGTGGAAAAAAGGTGTTCCCATATTTAAATCATATGACACAAATTCCGTACAAATTTGGAAATTCCAATTACCGGTATAAACAATAACAAGTTGCGTCCACTCAATGACAGTTTAGCAACAGAGATGGGGCTTATACGCCGGCGTACTGATACGTTTTTTTACTTACTTTTCTTGTGTCTATTATTTGGTTTGATGTTAACTGCATTTAACGTGTACGAGCTAAGCTCTATGAAAAATGCGGAAAGTGGGAATGGAAAAGTAGTGGATAATCAAAAATATTTAGCCTGGATACATGCTGATCATGTAAGAGACAATGTTTATATTCATCTATAGTTCATTATTGTTTATACCTCAACAATATCTTTTAAGAGTAAATTTGTAAAATTGGGGGAAAAATTATGCTTTTTCAACACAATATGTTATATTTAATCCTGTATATTCCTGTTTGCAAATGTTTACAGTTTAATATTGTTCATGATGCATGGCAGGTGTTTTTGTAAAAATTTGCAAATTTGGCATAGTGTATAGATATTAATCTATTTGAAAAAAAAATTGCTTAGGAACTTTGCAGATGACATGATTTAAAAAATGTTGGGAGGGAGGTCTGTACCCCCCCCCCCCCCCCCCCGCTATGCGACAGGGGAACAAAATCTATAAATTTGTTGACAACCCTAGCTAACTTCAACATCCAATCCAGTCTATATAAAGATCAGCAACTTGATAAAGCCTAAGTAGCAAGTAGCCAGGCTCTCATGAAATTCTCCTAAGGCACTGCACAGCCTTGTTCCTAATCTCATACCTAGAGTAAGCATGTTCCAAGATAACCAGCCAATGGGCATAATCTGTGTACAAGAGTGTCTTCTGCCAAGACTGCCCAAAATTAACCCACTGAGTGGCAGCACTCTCCCTTTGATGAGTAAAACTGTCTGGCATAAGACAGAGTAAAATAATAAAGTAGGGTGCATTACCACATTTTGGGTTAAAGTGCATTGCACATACTCAACCACAAGTTATGAAAATACATTTTTATCAGCTTAACAGTGGATATCTGAATCATTTAATTGATGTCCTGGATAGAGTTGGGTACACATATACCACAAATGGTGATGGAGACTGGGACCTACTCTGGTCACATAACTATCCCTTTACAGATTTAGCAATAACACAACTGCAGAAATTAAAATCTTATCAAAAGGTATATGATTTTGATATATTTGAGAACTACATTTTTGCTATCAATTTCAATCCTTAAGGTCTGTTTACACTTGCAATTTCTATACTGCAAGTACAGATTTAAGTATATATACCATCATCATCTGAATACTCATCTATCCGTCACAATCATCATCATCAGAAAATTGTACCTAAAATCGCAGGGAAAAATGGACCTTTACATTGTAAAATTTAAAATTTTTTTTTTTCAAGGTAAACCATTTTCCAGGCTCGGGGTTTATTACAAATAAGGCCAGTCTGGTCAGCACACATATACCTGCCATTCCACTTGCTTTTCAAATTCCAAAGGATAAGAATGCTTTTCTGGAAGAGGTAAATTATCTGATTTTTTCTAATACAAATGTAACTGAAATTCAATGTATAGTCTGACATTATAGCTCTGATGAAATTGCAGGCAAAGACACACCCAGAAAAATTATGGGTGGTAAAAAGTAATGGTCACCGTGGTATTGCTGTAAAGCACCCTAATGGTGAGTACAATAGGATATAGGTCTGGCATTATCACCATCACTACCACCATCATGACCATCATTACCACCACCATGACCATCACTACCACCACCATGACCATCACTACCACCATCATGACCACCACCATGACCATCATTACCACCATCATTACCACCATGACCATCATCATGATCACCATCATGACCATCATTATCACCATCATGACCATGCATCAATTACCACCATCATCACTGTCACTACCACTATCATCACAGTACCACCATAATCACCATCACTTCTACGTTCATGACCATCGTGACCATCATCTTCATCAGTCATCACCACCACCACAGTCAAGTCTGAGGAATGTACTACTCAATATTTTCTGTAGAAATAGAACTAGATGTGACAGAGAGTAACAGTTTTATTCAAGAGTTTATCAAAAACCCACTTTTAATCAATGGCAGGTGCGTATTTGTGCTGAAATTTAAAACTTAATTTAAGCAAACTGTAATTGTAATAATATTTGTTTCTACTTAAAGAATGTTTGATATAGGTGTATATACTGTCATGACCTCTGTGAATCCACTCAGAGTTTATATTTTCACAGCTGACGTTCTTATAAGGTAATTATACTTTCACAGCTCACCAATGTGTCCTTGCAATGGGTGATTCCAAATTTTGATCAAGGCAAGAAGATCAAAATCCAACACCACAGCTTGAAAGCGCGTCTTAGAATGAGTAAAACTGCAAGGTTTGGTTGCAAAATGTTGTAAAATAAAGAAAATATAGCCGTGTGAAGTTCGCAAATTTTGTATATATTTGTATTACGCGCGGTGAAAATAACCACTTTCGGCTCAAAAATGGGTTTTTCCCGCGCGTAATGCAAACCGAATATATACAAAATTTGCGAACTTCACAGGGCTATATTTCCCTCATTTTACAACAATTCGCACTCAAACTTTGCAATTTTACTCATTTTACCAATACAACAGGAGGTAACGTCTAACTAACTTAGGAACAGTAGTGATCAAAAGTAAATGTCAGGGACCGCGAAGCAGGGTGGCTCGCTGGGCTTGAGCTCCACCAATAATTTTCCGTAGTTAGTTTCTTAATTTCGGATATATTTTAGTTGTGTTCAGTACAAATGTTTGGCCAAAATTAAATAACTAAGGTTAAATTTAGACGTAAAATTTTCCGTTAAATTTAGACGCATTTGCGGCCATTTCAGGGCTTAAACCACGGCGGTTTCGCGCCTTCGGCTCACGTAAGCCCCACCAATCCCCAAAACGCTCCGCGGTCCCTGAATGTGTCAACGCATATTCAAATTCATCAGTTACGTTTGTCCGCTTAAAGCCCGTTCTCCACTAGGCGAATTTATTCGCGCGAACAGATAAAAAGTAGGAAGCGATCCTACTTTTTCGCCGCGAATTTTTTCGCCGACCAATCACGTTGCCGGATTTCGGTTTTCGCTTCGCGTCGCGCGAACAAATTCGCGTAGTGGAGAACGGGCTTAAGAGAGATTATTCGCCTCATTGGGAGCTCACGTTGTCTGTTGTCCACAAGTTTCCGCATAATAGATGTGTACGCTGAATAGGGGGAATGACAATAGTTTTTTATTAAAGAAATCATTAGACGGCCGGCCAAGTCATCAATTTGTACAACTTGATGGCAACTTTATGTTAGAAGCTGGTAACAGGCATTTTCTTATAGTTTAAGCCTTGGTGAACAAGACTGTGTGTGTTACCACTTCTGATTTTTGCTTTATAGCCAAAAATTTGAGAATTTTTAAATTTTGCCTATTAAATTACTATGATCGGAAAAATGTAAAATTTCATGTTCTCTTACACGAAAAATAAACTATACCACTAGAAAGAGCGTAAAAAACTGTATATAAGACAATTAAGTGAGTTCTACGTTTTTCCAATCCTATTTCGAGTTTTTAATGTTAAAAAATGCAGAAATGACCAAATTAATGCTAATTAGTACCCATTTTGCCAACTTTAACCATCTTTAATTCAAAATCGGCTTGAAAATCGCACTAGTCGCTTAAGTTATCTTATATATAGTTTTTTACGCTCTTTCTAGTGGTATAGTTTATTTTTCGTATAAGAGAACATGAAATTTTACATTTTTTGCCATCATAGTAATTCAATAGGCAAAATTTTAAAATTCTCAATTTTTTGGCTATAAAGCAAAAATCAGAAGTGGTAACACACACAGTCTTGTTCACCAAGGCTTGAACTATAAGAAAATGCCTGTTACCAGCTTCTAACATAAAGTTGCCATCAAACTCTCTTTAGAGGCACTTTTTGCCACCTTGGCCGGCCGACTACATTGGGACCAGAGGTGTGTGTCCTCTTAAGGTGCCTGCTTTTAAAAGAAAGGTGTCTGTTAATAGGGAACAAGGTTGTAACACAGTTGTAGCAACATGTGATAGACTCTACTACTGTCAAGTTTATGACTATGTCGTATTTGTATAATGTTTCAGTATATTAGTTATTTCTCACATATTTTTGTAGATTTTGCACTAAGGATTATCACCCATTTGATGCAAACGATCTCAAGAAATATGTTGTTGGCGACGATTACACTCCACCTCGAGAGGTAACCCCCCTGCACGTTGAATTTTTAGGATTTGCTTGCTCCAATATTAAAGTGCCGATGGTTCTGAAATTGACCACCATTTGCTGTTTTGTAACGCAACAGACTGGTGATTTGACCATTCTTCATTTTCAGATTCCAGGATTCAAAGAGATATATTTAAAAGGAAAGTTCTCACGACTCGAAACCCTCCGGCTTTATTTACGAAAGCAAGGTATATGAAAACGTCTCTAACATTCTGAAATTATTGATCCTGCAGTGTTTAATATTTGTGACTTGTTTCACTTTAATTTCAATAAATTGATTTTCAGGCGAAGATGATACCAAAATGTGGAATAGTATCAAAAATACTATTTCTGAGGTATTTTTTATTGATAATGAATACTTCTGTCAGCTTTGTACAAACTGTTTTCCCTCGAAGTCCAACTAGGATAATTTTATTTTACACTAGGTTTATCAGTTGAAGGAAAATAATTTTATTGCAGCGTCCGCTGGTTTTCGTTCAAGCAGGTAAACGTCATACCACAAAGAGTTTACAAACGTACAATATATTGGTGTCTACAATCGTTTGTAATTATTCAACTTCGGTCTTTTTTCTCGTTTTGTTTAGAAATTTCTTTGAAATGGTTCGATTTGACTTTATACTGGATGATAATTTGAAAGCTTGGTTATTAGAGGTAACCATGACTTATTCCTTTCTTTGATAGAGAGGTTCAGATTTGACTTCCACTACCACTATCTTAGAACCATCTGATTGGTTAACGGGATATATCAAACGCATTTGATTGGTTAATGGTTCCTTAATGGTAGCGGTAGTGAAAGTCAAATCTGAACATGTATAATGTCTCAATGAAGGGGGTACAGTAATTGGGGTAACCTGTACCAATTTGAGTGGTTTAATAAAGCGATTTAAAGATTAAAGAATTAACAGTTCACTTTCTTGCGTCCTCTTCAGGTGAACATGTCTCCAAACTTGTCATCCGCTGCACACAATCACAATAAACTCATGTATGAAAAGGTAAAGGTTCTTTCTTTACATGCACTGTATACATACATATTCACTCCCCGATTACATCAAGTGTTACGTTTACTTATATTACTGTACCTACTTAGCCTAGACTATTTATCTCTACAGCAATTGTGATATTACTTTCATAACTTTGTGTATCCTAAATCCTAACACACTCTGTCAACTTTCTCTGTGGGAGGAAACTGAAGTAAATCCAGAGCATTCGTTGATAGACTTTTTCACATGAGTCCACAGCGATAATCGAACCCACGATCTCAGAGGTGAAAGGGGCTTGCGCTGAAGACTGCGCCAGAGCAGTCATTAGGGCCATTTATACGGGACAAAATAAGACGCGACTTACATAAGACGCGACTTAAATAAGACGCGAGTTTGCCGTATAAAAGGTACAAAATTCTTATGTAAGACGCGTCTTGGATAAGACGCGTCTTACATAAGAATATTGTACATATACAGTCTCGATATACAATATATGAGAGTATTATTAAATCAAATGTAAAAGTTGCAGTTATTGAATTTAGGTGATTTTCAACTTGTTGACACTTACTGGCGTGAGTCATTTTACACGAAAACCAACGAAAGACAGGTAGGTTGAGAGAAGATGAATGATAACTGTACTGCTAAAACCTGGTTGATACTATCAAAGTTTCTGTGATCACATGCAGTAGGAATTTTTCATGCTAGTTAAATTCTAAGTTTTGAAGGATTTGTAAGAAATGTTTGAGCAAACGGACTTAATGTTAAAACCGAGTCAGTTTCCTCAAACATTTCTTACAAATCTTCAACTTAGAATTTACCTGTGCAAAATTCCTACTTGAACTCTGATAGTATAAACCAGGCTTACTGTAATTTAATTTTGTTGTGTGTTTTGTTTTCTTTGCAGTTCGTCAGAAGAATTTGAGATGCGTGTTAGTGACGACGATATTCAAGTGAATGCGGTGTGTGCCAGCGAGAAATGTCTCAAATCTTGCTACAGTGAGGTTAGAGGCTACGATATATAGTGCAGTTAGATTTTCATACAGTTCAATTTAGATTTAATTAATTTTTATTCATTAATTAGTTAAGGATTTCTTAACTAGTAATTTTTTTATTACTTATATCTTGTAGGAATGTGAGTTGTGTAATTCATGTTTAGAAAAAGATGAACGTGAATTTCTCAAAATGGCTTATCTTGAACACCTTCACAGGAGAACCTACAGAAGAGTCTATCCCCCTCCAATGGTAAAATAACTTTATTTATACTGGATAGCTCTGTCATTTCTTATGAAACTTAGGCGATGCATACTGGCCGTTTCTACAACTTCAATACAATTATCCTACTCCACAAATGTCACTCCTTAACTCATTTCCAACTTTCCATTTTTAGACGCAGGAAACTGCCAGGGCACTTTCTAAAGACATGACTTCATTGAAAACCCTGAGTAGACCTAACCACGTGATGCGCACGTGGTTTATCCATAAATGTTTGCATGATGCAACCTGGTGTTCGTAAATCTCTCGGGTTACGATCGGACTGTAGTCGGATGTTGTCACCATCACATCATCGTGTACCCGCTATGCATCGTAGTCCTTTCCCAGATTTGCAAGCGACAGAACCAAGCCCCAAAGAGAAAATTTCAAATTGTTTTCAAACTTTACATGTAAACTACGTGAAGCGTTCCTCTTTTGACTTCGTAACTCATTTGGAATTTTCCTCATTAGGTTTGCAAATTTGAAAAACTCTTTGCAAATCCCTTGAGGGAATTTGCAATGTTCCTATCGGCTGTTGCAATATTCCAAACTTCATTTTAAATTTTCCTAACTTCCTGTTTTAATTTCCTAACTTCCTGTTCTGTTCTGAGCGTTGTTATTGGTCGATTATTTTTGTTAGCCAATTGCAACACCCAGAACAGAACAGGAAGTTAGGAACTTCTAATAGGAAGTTAGGAACTTCTAACAGGAACTGACGAAAATTTAATTCGGTTTTAGCAACATTGCAAATTTCCTCAAGGGATTTGCAAGAGAGTTTTTTAAATTGCAAAAGTAATGAGGAAAATTGCAATCAATTTAGAAATTCAAAAGAGGAACGCTTCACGTAGTTTACCTGTAAAAGGATTAAAAACAGATTCCTTGTTGTTCAACGCGTAATTGTTATTTTACTAGAACGTTAACGTTAACGTTAAAATATTAAAATGTTTGACAAATTTATACCAAAAGAGGCAAATTATTATTTAGAGTCAAAAGTTATATTTATTAAATCTATTTATTGGTTATTTTCGAAGGAGTTTTTGAAGCTCAGAATATTATATAGTTAATGATTTAAAATATTTTAGTGTTTAAATGTTGAAAATAAAAGTAAAATAACGAAACATTTTCTAATTGGATATTGTAATATTGCCTGAAATATTTCTAGGAAAGCAGTCAAGATGCTACAGCTGTCTTATCGTATCCACAAACGCAAAACACGGACGAATTATATTTCATGAATTCCTTGCAGCTTTGAACTGTCCTACCCGGTTCTCCGTCCCTCATGCAAAATTCCCCATACGAATAAAAGCCCCCGGATAAAATGGCCGGGAAGTTGTCTCGAAATATTCCGTGAGCGCTCGAGAAATACGAGTTTCCACGATGTACAAATCGTGACGTAAACACCAAAGCTACCGAAGGGCGAAAATTCTCCTGCTCAAGTTCCCGGATCATAGTTCGGGCGGGTTCGTAAAAGTCCGTTCTCGCTTCGGCTAAAGCTATTGGTTGGTTGAGGAATCCAGCGCGTACTCCAAATGCACTGCCGCTGATCAAAAGAACAAGTGCTCTAGTTCTGCGTACTGTTCCATCCATAAACAGTCGATCATGACCAACTCCTCCAAGGATTGTCACTCCCTCACCGAATGTTTCACGAACACCTAAAACACAGAGAATGTTACAAATACGGCATGTTATTTACTGTGCAGGAGTCGGTTGTTCGAAAGCTGATAACATTATCTCTACGTTAAACCTAAAATTCAAAGCAAACTTCCCAAACACATTGTCTATATAAGTTCTTTGTAGGTTTGCATGGCGATAAAACATATACTATTTTGTTTGTGGAAACATCACGAAAATTTATTACTGCAAAGCTTTCGATCCGTAATAAATTTACGCGTGGTTTCCACGAACAAAAAGTATTATATATACATTGTCTATAAATTTGGAAATATTTCTTTAGAAATCTGGTCAGGATCAGTAGGAGTTTACTTCTTCGAAGTTTTAAAATAAACAGACGTACATAAATACATAAACTGAAACAGCAGGTTAAATTTTAACGGAAGGTTAACACTAATCCAGCTTTGAAGAACCAGCCCCCGAGAAACAATATTAAACACTTCTTTCCAGGTTTACCAGCGCTATGCATGCAGCAGAAAGTACAAAAAGAAGATATGGACGTACCTGAAGCGATATGAGCGATCATATCCCTGCTGTGTGGCAATGCCAGGATGATGGCTAACTTCACTGGATGATTGACAGTAAACCTGAATAATCTCGACCAATCACGGCTATGATGTCTCAAATGTCTCACGTGAACGGTATGATATTTCACGCCACTCACTTCCGGGAACGATATAGCCACGTGACCGCGTTTCTTGTGCACAGGCCCGGTGGGGAAACTCTCCGGTAGATTATAGATAAGTTTCTCTGTAGTACAACCTAGTAATTGACACTCGTCTGGAAGTTCGTCGTACAAATGTCGAACAGATTTCACCAGCTGTCTTTCCAGCCCACGTCTGCGCGGTTTGTCTCTCCTAGTCAGCCAGATATCATCGTACGTAAACAGAAAGACGACACTAGGTTTTGAATACAAACTCTCACAATACTCCCTTGCGTCTGAATGTTCGATGATACGGTCCTGGACAAATATCGTGTTACAACTTACGCGCTTGCGCAGTACGGACGTTGCCACGTGATACCATAAACGGTTGACCTGCGTACAGGTATAAAGAACACGGGCTGGTAGTATATTTAGCACTTCATAGACGAGTTCAGGTATACAAGCAATAATAGAGGGAAGGTCACTGCTTGTTCCTTCCATACGGATCCATTCGTTCTCGCCCTCTTCGTTCATTATTACGTCATTCATTAGGAAACGTGGTTGCTAGGCAACCGTTGCGCGTGCGCAAAGAACATCCACACGTGAATTTCAACGTTTGATGTGGTAGCCCCGTTTAGTCGATTATCAATCGAAAGTTGACGACGATTAATCGATTACAAACATGAACTTGATGATCAAACAAAATCCAACTTTTTAATACATTATGTTGCGCAATTTCAGCAATGATTTACTTCATATTTATTTATCTGTCTTTTTTTTTTGCAATGTATACACATTGGTTACGACGCTTCAAACATTAGCGTTCGCGTTTGTTCATATTCATCACAAATTAAACCTTTTAGATTTCATTCACTTTCACGCCCAATTCCCTTTCATTTCATTTCATTTCAAGTGATCTTTAGCGATCATTTGAAATATAATATATTCCCATATTCAACATAATTTAAAATTCCGTGAAACGAAATTTTGAACTGATTAATTATATCCCCAAATTCCTACATTATCCCATATTACCCCGGGCAAATTATTTTACTTTTATCTGACCGTGCTTCCAAGTGCATGAACCCACGACATCACGTGACTAGACTCCAACCTCACGTGATTTTCTGTCAGCTGTCACGTGTTACCAGAGTTGACCATGTCTGCGGAGAATCCATGTTGTAAGAACTTAAGGATATCGTTGGCACGTTTTACGGACAGAGTTTTTACTCTTTTGACCAACTCTTCAGCAGAACTGTTAAAGGAATTAATAAAACATATAATGAGCTTAAAAATCTCGCATATTGTCAACAATATTATGTTCGCAATAGAAAGCTTATTATTAAATAAGGCTCTTTTCCACCCATTGCAACAACCAACTAGAAAAAATCTCACAACTTGTGAACAAGATGTGTTCGCGACAGGCTAGTAACAAGCTTGTCAACAAGTTGTAACAATGCTCTTATTTTATCAAGTTGCTACAAGGTTGTCACTCACAACTTGTCAACAAGATGTGTTCGCAACAGGCTTGTGGCAAGCTTGTCAACAAGTTGTAACAATGCTCTTATTTTATCAAGTTGCAACAAAGTTGTCACTCACAATTTGTCAACAAGATGTGTTCGCAACAGGCTTGTGGCAAGCTTGTCAACAAGTTGTAACAATGCTCTTATTTTATCAAGTTGCTACAAGGTTGTCACTCACAATTTGTCAACAAGATGTGTTCGCAACAGGCTTGTAACAAGCTTGTCAACAAGTTGTAACAATGCTCTTATTTTATCAACTTGCTACAGTGTTGTCACTCACAACTTGTCAACAAGATGTGTTCGCAACAGGCTTGTGGCAAGCTTGTCAACAAGTTGTAACAATGCTGTTATTTTATGAAGTTGCTACAAGGTTGTCACTCAAAACTTGTTATCAAGTTGTTGAATTGCAGGACGATAACAAGTTGTTGGAGCAACTTGGCCCAGGTATTTTTGGGCCTAGTAAACAGAAAATAAGGCACACCAGTGAGAATGAAAGTGCATAAAATTTCTTGCCTGTTAATAATCTCTTGTAAAGTCTTATTATGATAACAAAGACTGATTGCCGTGATGTAACTTGTACGTGGGATTGAACTTAGGAACTTCACAATCTACAATATAAAAGTAGATTAAATTTGATCATTTATCCTCAGTTAAATGGACACGATGTTGAGTGGCAATAGAAATACCTGTTCCTTATCTTTACTCAAAGGTAACGGATAAATAATCGCACGATTTTTCTTCTCTTCAGCTTGAGCTAACAAAGCCAGAATGTCCGACGTGCTTTCTGTAAATATGGTTCAAATCACTGTTAGTATTGCTTTAGGCCTGGTTGACACTATCAAAATTTCTGTTGAAGGATTTGCAAAAAATGTTTGAGTGAAATGACTCGGTGTTAAACAATGAGTATTGCTGCTTAGGCCTCGTTTACATGAGACCAGGACAAAGACAAAGCGGAATGAAAATTGAAATTGTCAACATGTTTACATGAGACCGGTACGAAAATCGCAAAATTTTCAATTTATTCCCCTTGCCAAACAATTTTCTCTTTTAGATTGCTTTTGTTACCATGTGTTGTTCCAATGTCAAGGTTACAGCCGAGACCGGTCTGAAATGTATTTGTGTTTACATTCATCCCGGTCTGAATTCATGCCGGCCTGAAGTCAGTCGGTACAGCAGGCGGAATGACTTGAGAGCGGCTTGACTTGAGAGTTATTTTCGTGATTCGTCCCGGTTTCATGTAAACATAATGGTTCCGCTCTCGTGTAAACGGGGCCTAAGTTTCACGTGAGAACATTTTCATTGTTCGTAAAACCATAGTTAATATATATGACATGGTTTGGAAACCCCTTTGTTTTAGGTGATTGTGCCTTGTGCAGGGTCACGGTTAAAAAATTCTTTGTCTTTCTATTGTTTGACAATAGTCAGTTCAGAAAGCTTGGCGAAGGGAATGGGTACCAAATATTTGTTTTGCCTACCGGGGCTATATCTTACCGCATATTTTGCCAATAATGAAGTATTACTACCATTTTTCGATGGAGAATGTTTGTGTTACATCGTTTCGTCAATTCTCATTGATTAAAACCAATATGTGCAGGGTCAAACAGACTGTTCAACCTCCATGTTTGTTTATAGCGTAATTTCTTTGAAGTTTGCCGTGTTTCCTAACCAGGTCTTATAACAACCATGGTAAAACTACGTGTACCACACCTGCTCAAAACATTTTATACCTTGGCCATCGCTGAACAGCACCTTGATGTGCGTTTGAGCCAAACAAGCAAGAATTCGATCAAAATATTTACTGCGAACTCTAAAATAAGTATAATGTACAGAATCAAACCCAGAGAGTATATAATTCACCAAACGAATCGAAGAGACAAACTCACTCGCATTTAACTCGAGTTTCGCCATTCTTTACTCGATCTCCTTCAATCACAACACAAGGGCGATCATAAAGATCACACAATTCTCGAATTCTCGCGATCAGTTTGTTGTAGTTTGATTGGTTGGAGATATCTGGAAAAATTGAAAAGAATTAAAGATTATAATCAATGGACACTATAGTGACGTTTGCATAAAGTCTAAGCCCCGATAAACGAGGATGAGAGTTGATGAGGGTTGGCAGTCACGGGGGACATTTCACGGGGGACATTTCACAAGCCCTAGATTAACAAAATAGAGATTTGATGAGTAACCACCCATTCGAGTAACCACCCATCTGCTAAGTGGATTTCACTAGGTAGGTTAACACTTAGGTTAATTTAGATATTATACAGATGCAGATATTGCACAGCACACTCCCTATCAGGGGTTTTCAGTGACTGGTTGCGTTAGAACCGGAGCTGGCGTGAAGCAGACCGAGGTCACAGAATAAGGCATACAGAAGGTCGACTCGAGTAACCGCTGCCACGCCATGATCAAAATGCTGACGCCATGGTCCTAGCCAGTGCGCGTTTGAGAGGCATCCCCCCCCCCCGCCTGGACGTCTGCCATTTTGAATATTATCAGAAGGGTGAATGCCTCTGTAACGCGCACTGGCTAGGACCATGGCGTCAGCATTTTGAGAACGAATTACGCTTACGCTAAAATCATTGGAAAATCATAGGAAAAACCAAGTCGGCCTTCTGTGTGATTTATTCTGGGCCGAGATAGACTGTGAGCTTACAAATGGCGCTTTAAAGTGCCTATGCGACAATTTTTTTTATGAATGAATTGCAAAGTTCATGTAAAATCATAATATAACTTGTTTTCTAAAACTTTGTATTCTCTCCTGTATGTCAAGATTTTCGACTTTGTTTGATATACAAATGTGACTTGAATGACGTCACACTGCATAATGAGTTTTTAGAAAGAAAATGTTTCCTTGCCAAACATGTAATAATTCCACTGACATTGAAAGTGATATACTTTAAGAGCTATCAAAGCGATCATTTCATCTGTAAATTTGAGATAATGAGAATTTTAACAAGCTACAACACAGTCTTCTGTAAAAGCATTATGCAGTGTGACGTCATTTAAGTCACATTTGTATATCAAACAAAGTCGAAAATCTTGACAAATAGGAAAGATTACAAAGTTTTAAAAAACAAGTTATATTATAATTTTAAATGAACTTTGCAATTCAATCATAAAAAAAATTGTCGCATAGGCACTTTAAGCAGCCGCTATTAGTCCATACCTCATTAATGATCTGCCCCCTAACCTATGAGTTTAACCCACCCTGTCAACTTTCCCTGTGGGAGGAAACACGAAGTAACCGGAGAAAACCCACGACGTTCGGCAGAGCGTTGACTTTTATTCTTTCCGCATGAGGACTGGGTTCGAGTCACTTTGAGAAATTCTCACTAGGATTTGAACTTGCAACCTTAGAGGTAAGGCAAGTGCGCTAACCACTTCGCCACCGAAACCCCATACTAATTTGCAATCTGACCAACCTGATACGAATTTTCGCTCGACAGCCATGCGAGTGCTGACAATGTAGTCACATCCAGTGATTTGGGATACCACAGTTTTAATATTGTGCTTCCGACGTAAGAACGACACAATCTATAAAGACATCGGAGACAATGATTTACGTTGATGTAATACGAAACTAAATTTGATTTAAAAGTAGGCCTCCACTCTCACAAGGAGTAAAATAAACAAACCTGGCAGTTGGAAACTTCTTTTGAACCAACCAAAATTGTTAACTTGTTCTTATCACGTTGTGCAGCCTAAATGTAAAGAGACAAAACCAAAACCAAAGTCGCCAATGTAAACTAACTTTATTTATACTGGACTCTCCCTAGAGGTCCAGTCAGGGCAATGGCCTTTATTGATCCAATATCACCATAGGATGAAACCTAAACTAAATTAAAATATCTTATTATTTGTACAGGATAGCTCCATCAGTTCTAAACTGTTCTCCCCAAGATCCAGTAAGGACCATAACTTTAAGTTTGAATTTTAGTAGGCGAAAGCCTGGGATGTTTGGTACAATCAAACTGACAGCACTTTCCGGATGTGACAGAGCAGAGGTGGAATTATAATCAGACAACTGCATATTGCCGGAACCGAATTCCAGTCAGTCACATGCGTTTTTAGTATCTTTCACAATTAATATCCCATAATGACATAAGAGGAAAACGAACGTAGATGAAAGAGTTCTTACAAAAAGAAATATTCACGTACTGTTAAGGCAGGACTGTCAACCTTGGCAGGATTCACGGAGATTTCCGTTTCAGCTTTCGATGTATCCAATTTAGTTTGCTCAAAAGAGGAAACTTGACCAGTGGTCTTCTCTGGAAGAACATGCACATAAGACGTCTTATCTTTTGCTGACGTGATCGTCGATAATGGCGGGAATACTGGTGAGATGTCTTTTTGCTTGTTAGCAGTCCTCGACGCGGAAAGGGTTTCATTTGGCTTACATTTAATTTCATAATAATCATTTAATTTCACAGAATCACCAAACCTCGTATAGTTGTTGCTGTTTAAATTTTGTTTCACATTAGTCCTAACCCCTCCATCAATGTTGTTCAATGTCTTAGAACCAGAATGAAATTTCTGGCCAGAACTTAAACCAATCCTTGATTTTTGTTGCACGTTGCTCGGATTGGATTCAGTCACTGAGCGCTTCTCAACACAATCTCCATTCTTTGCTTTCGACATTTCCGTTTCATTACATTTTAAATTCCTATGTTGGTCATTGCTGTCATTCCTAGATTTTTGTTGACGGTCCAACGTATTTGAATTAAAGCTAGAACTGCTTGCAGGACTCCGAGTTCCAAAAAGTTGCCTATTATTTGAATTATGTTGTAAGCTTCCAGATAAGTTTGGTTTCTTAGACAAACTCGAAGTTTCATTGTTTCTGTCATAATTCGTGTTTGTATTCCCACCTCTGGTGTTCCCACATGTTCTTTCGGGTTTCCTGACATCAGTATTTATTGTCGCACGATACGAGTTATTTGAAGAATAATCTGCTGTTTTCCTTGAAAAGGTCCTTAATGGTATTGCTGATGTATTTTCCGTATCCCCGATCTTTCCTAAGGCGCTATCCTCAAGAGCGGACGCCAAACTTGGCAAAGCATTCATTTCCATCATAAGTGACTCATCATCACAGTCGTTCAAGACTGCAAGAATATCATCAATGTTCTCGTTGTCTCCTGCATATCCATTTGAAAACTCTGTAGTCCCATTAAGTCGCCTGTTCCCACTTACTGGCGCGGTGTTTCCAGGACATTTGAATATCGCACCAGGACGTTTGAATATTGCGTTGTCCGCGGCTATGCTACAGGATTTCTTGGAATAAATCGCGGAGATGTTTTTAGTATCTTTCGCTTTTACACACACACCTTGCGTGGGACCAAGAGATTTGTTTTGCTCGGAAAGCTTCGTTTCACGTTCGCAAAGCTTCGTTTGAGGTTCGCAAAGCTTCGTTTGAGGTTCGCAAAGCTTCGTTTGATGCTCGGAATCGGGCGCTTCGGGACTATTGAAAAAACTTTCCGCCAAAACACGCTTCTTCCCACGACGGTTTTTTCGTAAAACTATTTGACTTTCCTCCGGGGAAACGGAGGGAGGATCAGCTACGTCCCGCTCCTCAACCATCGTGTCTTCGTCAGATTCCTCAGTTTCCATGGAAACGTCGTAATGGTTGTCGTCATCTGTTGGTGAGGTGAATGTATTTCGAGCAGGAGGATTTTTATCGTAGACCAACTTGTACCTAAAAGCATGCAAAATATAAAACTTAGTATATGTATTTCTTTCAAGTGCTTCCTGTAGGAACACTACAGTAATAAGTGACGTATCTTTCTGAACCACTACGGGGACAGTTTAGACACAGAATAGAGACAAAGGTTCTATTCTGAGGTTTAGAGGTCCAGTAAAAGTTAGTTGAACTTGTTTAGTTTTCCTTCAGTAGTAATCAGTATTGAATCAATAAGGGATGACCCGCACTGTGAACCTCTAGAGAAAACAGTTTAGAATTGATAGAGCTGTCCAGTATAAATAAAGTTAGTTTAAATTTGTTTCCTCACTTGGGCAGTAATGCTGGAGCAATAAGTCATATCATGTACTAGACCTCTACGTAAGTTGAGTTAAGAGTACATTACTTCATTCTCTCCATTTACCTGTTTTTATAGCGATGAAACGTGGGTGTTTGAAACCGCAGTTGTTGACGATGTGGGGTAAGAAGGGATGTTCTGTATATATCCATCATGTTCGCAGACTTATCCTTCCTCTTGTGTTTCATAGCAGTGAGAGGACTTCGCTGTGTCAACTGACTACGGTCATCAATAAAGCTATCCTCCATTTCTTCAAGGCCATCCTCGTCATTTGACGAACCATGGGTGTCATTCATCTCGTCCTCCGACACTTCCGCTTCGTCGTCCAGGAAATCATCGAGCAGAGGACGTCTTTTCTAAAGAATGGTTGGGAGTTAAATATATTTGTGTTGGTAAATGAGTTTCACTACAGACCAGATCAAACGAGAATGAGAGCTGACGAGAGTGCAACTCTCGCTTGCGTTTTACCGGCGCCAACCCTCATCGACTCTCATGCACTCTTATCAACTCTCATCAACTCTGAACAAGTTTTGGTTCAAGTTTGGGTGCAATTTTTCGCTACGCACGTGGTAATATCCGGTCAACTCTCATGCATGCAACTCTTGTTCTCGTTTTACCGGGCAACGAGAGTTAAGAAAACTCTCATGCAAGCTCTCGCTTCGGTATACCTTAGGTTTATTTTCTTTCGACTGTCCATGAACGGGCAACTTTCTCTTTCGCTTGACTAAAAAAAAATAATGTCGAGATTTAAAAGTATATTGAAGCCCGAGTGAAGGATGTCAAGAATGCTAAACAGAAATTGATATACACACAGTCCCTCCCTGTCACCTACCACTAGGGTCTGCTCGATATTTGTGTGATAACTGTTATTAGTTAGTGATGACACCAGACGACAATTTTCGCGTATTATTTAAATTCATTAATTCAAAACAAGACGCAGTTTGAGACTGTAAATTTTCGACTTTATTTCAAAGTCATCTTCATTCTGTCTGAAGATGACTTTGAAATAAAGTCGAAAATTTACAGTCTCAAACTGCGTCTTGTTTTGAATTATATATTGAATTCTCAAGATGTCCTGTATTTTCGGAATTTGTTTTTTACTTTAAATTCATTAAAGGTGATGTCTAGAAGCCATTTTACCTTTCCTTGGCTGGTCAAACTGATCATCGCTGTCAGAGATCTCTTGAACTTCCCTAGTAAAAACCACGCTCGCTTCGTCTTGAAAATCAGCTTCAAGTTCATTCGTTACTTGTCTTTCTTCTCCATATTCACCATTGTTGTCACTTGATTCATCTCCATATTCCTCATCACTCTCAAGCACTTTATTATTTGATCTCATCTTTCCTTTAGTCACAAGTGGCGAGTCCTCTACAGATTCACGCAGGTCTTCCTCACATTCAGCTCCAGAAACGTTCTTATTTGAACCACAAGTTATAAATCCGCTCACTGATTTTCTATCAGCCTGAGGGGGACTTTTAAATATGGATTTTTCTTTCAATATTTCATCATTATCTACATGCTCTTTGTTACCGTGCTCATCTTGCAAGCAAACACTGTTTCTCTCTTTGCATGGAAATGAAGAGTTTGATTTGGTTGACGCAGTTAAGCAAACAATGTCTATTTCTTCATCTGTAAGTCCATGTTGAAAAGAACTACCCACGCTTGTGTAGAACGGCTCTGCTACCTGTGGCTGGATGAAGTCGGCTTTGTTCGCATTTTTGGCAGATAAAGAATTTTTTTTCACTGATAACTTGGCAAGGGGAGTTAGGGGTTTATCGCTTTTCGTTTCATTACTGGAACTTTCTATGCCTTCAACCAATTTTGGACAAACGTTAATGGTAAAGTTGTTCTTCCTGTTTTGACTGAGTGAAGGGATCGCTTCCAAGGTTCGATCCGTTCGTGTAGTTGCCTTTTCCTTGTTCGCTGCTCCACCAAACAAAGAACTTGTTAACGTCTCGGCATCGACCAGAACACCTTGACTTGATTTGAGATTTTCTTTCATTTCTTTAGACTTTAGTTTCAACATACTTCTTCTATTCTGACATGTTTTTATCTCATTACTTTCACCCTTCTCACTACAGACACTTTTCATAGAAAATGATTCCCCTCTAAAACTTCGTGTCTTGTCAACTTTCCCAAAGCACGAGGTGCGGCGCTTCACACGATAAGGAGTTGGAGCTACTACGTCATGAGCGTATTCACCAGGAATGTGGATATGTTCGTCGCGTGAGTCTGAGGTCATATCTTTTAGAGACTTCGATTGGTCGATATCTGGTTTGGTGAAGGAAAAAGAACGAATTCTACTCAAAGAACTTTCGTTCACCCGAGACTTGAATTTTATTGATTCATTCGTTATTTTAGAGTCCGTGTTATTCTCAAGTAAAGGTTTTCTTAGCTTTTCAACAATATTTTTACCACAATCTTCCTTCTTAGCACTTAAATCATCACCTTCCAAATACAAACTCCGAGGGGTAAGCCGTTTGCCTCTATTGTGTAGCTCCATAGTCCGTTTCTCGCTGTCTTTATTTTCAACTTCTTCATCATCAAATAATCTTGGAGTTTGAACATTGTGTTTTTTTGTATCAATATTTTCATTTTTAGGTGAGGAATGTTGATTTGCACGCTGTGGCTTTGAAATCTTTTCGGTATAATCATTTTCACTCATATTTTCTAACACATCAACATCAAACAAATTTGGTGTCTGAAAATTGCTTTTCTTTGTATCGATATTCTGAACTTCTGAATTCAAGTTCCCATGAGAAAAACGTTTAATTGCGCCTTGCAGTTTCGAAGGTTGCTCTGTATTACTTTCAAATCCATCATCAAATAGACATGGACTCTGAATATCACAAAGAGCACGGCATATCTCATTATCACCATCTTCAAAGAACGAGTTGGCAAGCTCTTGACTGAAATCAAAATCAACGTCATCATTCTTTCTTGAACCAGTGTCGCACACCAATCCCGATCCAAACACTGGTGACCCTTCTTTATCCAAGTGATCTCTTTCCGTCCTGTGTTCTAAACCTCCATCTTGAATTTTATCTTCAAGTTCAAACATTTCCTTTTCAAAAGTCCTTTCGTTAAAGCTGGCTATTCTGGCAGCGTCATCTCCACCTGTCACTTTGTCCGCGGCTTCAACATTCCTGTTTCGTACTAAAGCGTTTCCCAAAGACTCCCTCTCTTGTAATCCATCCACCTTCACAGATCCACCACTTGTTCTTCTAAACATGCTCTTATCAACACTGATAGAGTTATTTGGCTTCTCAAACACTTCTTGTTTTCCCATGTTCTCCAATTTCTTAGAAGTAGATAGTTTCGCTGAAATGTCTCCCTTCTTTATGCCAAATATGTCACATTCCTTATCACTGATTTCACCAAACGATTTCCGCTTACCCAATACAATTTGATTAGACTGTACAATATGCTTACTGATGTTGTTATATATTTTACCTTTACTTGATCTGGGCGTTTCGGTGAACATGGTTGGAAAGAAATCATTATCAGATTCCCCTTCTTGAAAATCGCTGTGGTCTTTTTGACCCTCCCCTGCATTCGACGCACTGAGATCTAACAAGGTATCCAATGATGGGGCATCAGGAAGAATCTCAGAAACCACACCATCGGGTTTCAGACCCTTCGGTTTCTGACCTCGTGGGATCTTACGTTGTCGTTGAGAACTCGGGATATCCAATAAATCCGAGAGATCGTTATCAGAACCAAGAACGTTGTCATTCCTTTCCTGGGAAAATTCTGAATGATTTTCTATAAAACATGGAGCGGTTTCTGGTTCGTCTGATGCATTTTTCTCTGTTGTGACACATTTTGATTGGTTCTTTATGCGGAGGTTAGACTCTGATTGATTCTTTTTAAGTGAACGAATAGATTCTAATTGGTTGTTGGTCAGTGTGTGACCACATTTTGATGGATTCTTTCTAAAGAAGTTACTAGATTCCGACTGCTTCTTTGCTAGCGAGTGACTGGGTTCCAATTGCTTCTTTGCTGGAGAAATCTTTTCAGGTTTTCTTCCCAAGAAGGGATCACAGTGAGGTTGATTTTGATCAACTTTTGTCGTTTTCTCTGGCGCATTCACTAACACATCTTCAAAATCATCATCAACATCGGAACCAAAATCCGTAGATTTTCTCTTACGACTGGACTCGTTACTTTTCCCAGCCATGTTACTGCTCCCTTCTCTTGCCCTGTTGGTGTTATTTCTGCCATTCTTTTTCCTAGTAATATCATCATGACCATCATCGTCAGAATCTAAACTAAAATCTGTAGATTTTCCCTTTCTGCTGCAATCTTTCTTGCTAGTCTTGTCGTTATCCTTCTTTTCCATCATGTTGTCGCTGCCATCTTCTCCATCATCTTCGCTATCATTAACAACAACAACATCGTCCCCTTTCCTTCCACCTTGAGCTTTAGTCTTTTTCTTGTCAGCATTTTCAAGAACACACGCCGCATCTTCCATCTCCCCAGGCTCCATAATATCCTCGCGGTTTAAGAACGACTGCATCTCTAGATCATAACTATCATCATCGTCACCGCAATCACGACGAAAATCACAGAAATCCAAAATTTCCGCGAAAAGTCGAGAACGCTTCGAGTGGTTGACGAAATGAACTTGCTGTAGAGGGGTTTGCCATGCTGTCCACTCTGTTAGCGATAACGCAAGCTCAGTTTGTATATACCGCTCGCCAGTGGCTTGTGGACCTCGCGGGCGTATGGGTGTTGTCTTGGACGAAGTTAAGCCAGCCTCATGGTGCGGGAGCTTAAAGTTGTCGTTCCAGTAACGAAGTTCTTGTGAAGACAAAAAACCTGTTCTTGAGCATGCAGTCAATAATTTCTTGATATTACCATCCGTACTTATTCTTGCAGCCTTGGCAGATTTTCTGCAAAAAGAATGTTTAAAAAACATAAGTACTAGCCATTGACATATATAAGAAAAATTCGGATTCATACAACTACCTGAAAAATACCAGAAAAAATTTGACGTTCCGAGCGAAGATCCTTCGTCGGGAAGTTAAGGCGGTTTTCCACTAGGCGAAATTTTTCGACCGAAATGAAATTTTCTTTTGTCTTACAAGCACTCAGATGGAACTAATCAAAAATCTTTTGAATTTGAACAATAGAAATTTCGGTTCGATCGAAAAATTTCGCCTAGTGGAAAACCGGCTTTAAGGCGGTTTTCCACGAGGCGGAATTTTTCGACCGAAACGAAATTTCTCTTTGTCTTTTTACAATTAGTTCTGCTCGAGAGCTCATGAAACAAAGAGAAATTTCGATTCGGTCGAAAAATTTCGCCTCGTGGAAAACCGCCTTTAAGGCCTGATTCCACGAGGCGGAATTTTTCGACCGAAACAAAATTTCTCTTTGTCTTTTTACAATTAGTTCTGCTCGAGAGCTCATGACACAAAGAGAAATTTCGATTCGGTCGAAAAATGTCGCCTAGTGGAAAACCGCCTTTAAGGCGGAAGGGCCTTCGCTTGAAAGTTGAAGTTCTCCTTGTTGCATCCCTATCAATCCCAAGCTTTCTTATATATTATTGCCACTACCTACACGCGTAAAAATTGAGAAAATCAACAACTTGTTGCAAGTTGATATCGACAGGCGTGAACAAGGTTGTGCGGCCCACTATGAACAGTATTGTTAACATGTTGTGACAACATTGTTCAACTGTAACAACTTGGAACAACATTGTTCACGCCTGTCGATATCAACTTGCAACAACCTGTGCGTTTTTAGCCGTGTACACTGGCACAGACTGTTCAATATTGACATATATATCTGGACTGCTTGCTGTAATACTTTTTTGCTGAAGGTTTGCGTGGCAGTTGAAAATATCGTAACAATTGACAGAGAAATATGAAAGACAAATATCCGAGCAACCATGCAATTCCGGTTCAATCTGGGACTTCAGGAGGGTAAAAAAAGGTCAATGGCCGTTACCTCTTATTCTTTGGTGATATAGCATCAACTGTGATGAACATCTTTTGACAAACAGGTTTGATATTCTTTGGTATCATACGAGGATTTTCCATGTACAAGTCAAGTGTTCGCGCAGATTCTAGAATTGTCTTGTGAATGTTTGATTTGTTGCGTTGACTGCGTTGGTAGATCTAAGGTACGAACGAGAGAAGAATTAACAACTGTCGTGGTTGGTTAAAAACGCTTCGATGTTTTGTGGTAAAATACGATGTGGCAACCTACGATACACAGGGTAAGACTGTACTGCAGCACTTTAATCAACTGATCTACAGAAGCCAGTTGTCCAGCTCTAACCACAATGTATAAATACCAAGGTGATGCCATTGTAAGGTGTAATTGGGTAAATATCAAGATTTTGGGCATCTACACTCGATGAACTGATTGTTGAATGAATTGGTACATGGAAATTTACTCACAACTGCTCCAGATTAGGTCTAACAAATGTATAAAAATTACACTCGAAATTATATGCACCCTTCAACAATCAGTCTATCGAGTGAGATGCCCAAATCACAGAATAAGAAGGTACAGCAGAAGCGTCACTCGAGTCGGTTCCCTTATTGTTTTACGTCCACGAATATTTTAACTAGCTCACGCCACTGGCTACTACAACCGGAAGTTTTTATCAGGTTTTGGTAGGTACAAAGTGCCGGTTGTACTAGCCAGGATGGCGTGTTTGATGACGAATCGCTTGTAAAAAAAACGCGGACAAATACTTGCTTGAGTGACGCTTCTGCTATACCTTCTTATTCTGTGCCCAAATGCAGAGCCCAAATGTATAATACTGCAGCCTAAACTAAACAGTCATTTTCAATAAACGAAATGAAACACAAACAAATATTGCGAACCTGTTCTTCTTTGCCTTCAGTAACCAACACAATAATTCGTCCATCTCGCTTTCTTCCCGTTCTTCCCATTCTCTGAACGAGACGTATAGGAGAAGCGCTCGCATCAAAACAAACAATGAGATCAACCTCACCAATATCCAGTCCTTCTTCCCCAACACACGTTGCAACCAATGTGTTATAACCTCCGTTTCTGAACTGCCGTATTACCTATAGTTTCGATACTAAATATTAATATGTTATATCCATACGTTTTATCATATAACAATATCACGGCTATATTTTTATGCATGTATACGAGCTCTATTTTGCTTCCCTGCAACTAGGGTGAGGAGGTTAATCCGAATCGCTAAACCGGAAAAATTGATGTTTTTTCGAAAACCGATTCAACCGATTTTGCTCTTAGCACAAAACCGGGAAAAAATCGGGAAAAAACTACTTGAAAATCAGGAATACCGAAACATGAGAAAATAGCACATCTATAACGGTGGCTCATCCTTACATATTGAGGCATTACTATACTACTAATACAATTGTTTTAAAACTAAAGTCTTGAACATGTAAGCATGAAGTTTAATTTAACTGCAGTATATTTTGACATAAGTTAAAAATTTTCTTTTCAGACGGTTTTCAGTTTTTATGCAACCGCCTCGTCCTCAACTGCAAGATCCTCTCTGACCAAGCTCCCATTCATGCAAATAATATGCATTTGTCTGATTATAATTTCACCTCAACCACATGTGAGAGGAGTACTTTTGTCAACAATGAACCAATAATCCATAAGGGCTTGCCCGCAGCAAGAACAGTTTAGAACTAACAAACCTCTAGCTGTTCTTTCTGTGTTAGTCCTTTAGACGTAGTCCCCTTGCTTTGCTGACCAATGAAACTCATCACGTTCACCAGTGGTTTATACGCAGAAAGCATGCGCGTTATCTCTTGAACACTGTCACGAAATTGGGAGAATATCATCACGCGCGACCCCTTCGTGTTTCCCGCGTGTGGTGTGTTTTTACACGCGCGAAAATGCTCCAACACGATATCTTTCAGTTTCACTAACTTCGGGTGACCAATAAACGACGGTTTTACGTTCGATCCGTTCGTGTTGTTATTGAGTTGCTCCGGTTCAATCTGGTCTCTTAAATCGTCCAGGATACCAACAAAATCAGGATTCCTAGTGAGTTCAGTTTTCGCTCGAGAAGTTCCTTTACTACCATCGACTATTCCTATCAGTGAAAAAAGAAAAAAATTGACTTCTGAAAAAAGAGTCTACATTAAGACGCAGTGGTTTAAATGCCTAAAGGCTAAACACGACAGTTTCCTGGCCCATGAGACACAAACTACGGCAGCTTATTACAGAATACTACCTACACTGAACCACCACGTTTGAGTCTTGAGAGATCTTTTTCAAGTAGTTCAGAAACAAACCATGGCTTGACAACATATTACCTCTGGCTTATTACTTACTACCTACAGTGGACTTCCAGGCACCACGTTTGAGCTAGATATCTTTTTTTCAGGTAGTTCAGACACAATTGTGCCTGTCGGCAGCTTAGTATAAAATGCTATACCTAGACTGAACAACCACTGCATGGATACATTTTTCAGGTACTTCAGACAAACTACGACAGCTTATGTTTAGTTACACAAGAAAGCCGTAAAAACACATGTTCAACTGACCTTTAATGAAATTATAAAAGGGTAACAAGCCATGTTGCATGAGAAGATCATAACCGTGGTACAAGCTTAATGCCACGGCAAAGTCACCTTCAATAGGACCTATTTGATGTCGAGGCTGCAAGGAAAATTTTGCAAATAATTTATGTACAGGATTTATAATCAAGGGCCGGGCCGGATTTTGGTGGAAATAGTGGGGGAGATGGAAAAAAATTTAGGGGAGATGCAGCAGTCTTCGATCCCCATGGAAACTTAGGGCTTAGAACGGGCCAAAGTCAATGACGCGATGATTATTGAATTATGACTGTACAACTCATCCAATTTTGCCCTTCATTACAATTACTACAAAGTCAAAGTTTCTTTCAAAACATTGAATTGAAGGGGTACTTGACACAGAGATGAATAGCTATCACGGTTTCAATTTTACAGAAAAACGTTCTTACGAAGGCTAAACAACCAAAAAATGTCAAATTTGCACTTTGATCAATCATTGAAGCTTTCCCAAGGGGAGGTGCATGACTTTTCAGGAGAGGTGCAAAAATTCTCAGGGGAGGTGCAAAAATTCTCAGGGGAGGTGCAAAACGATTTCAGGGAAGGTGCGTACCTAGTCCCCTCAAAATCTGGCTATGTTAATAATGCATTCTTAAATAACTGGTTAATAGACAGGTTTAGATTTGACTTCCACTACCGACCACAAAGAGACCATTAACCAATCAAAATGCATTTGATATATTCTATTAACCAATCAGATGCGTAGTAAGCCAGTGAGAGATACTGGTAGTCAAATCTGAACCTCTATTATTTAAACTGAGTCCCACGTTTTTCAAGGCATCTTTTAATACCATAGACTGGTGGGGCATTTGCCCCACTGGGCCCCCTCCTCTGCCCCACCACTGAAGAAAAAATGGCCTAGTGCCCCAAAGCCAGGGGCCTATTTTAACATTGAAAAGTTTAAAAAACAAAATTTGTTGGTGAAATTTCACCATTAAAACTTTGTTTTAAGAAGCTGAGATTTTTTTTTAAATGTGTTCTAAGAATGCAGGAAATGCTATTTCAAAGACCTAAATTTTAAAAATTTATTTGGGGGACATGCCCCCAGACTCTCCTAGCTATAAACTCAAGCCTGCGGTCACCTGGGGGGGGGGGATGCCAAGGAAAATGGGCCCTTTGGCAGTTTTGCCCCACCACTGAAGAATCCTTAAAAAATGCACTGACGTTTTGATTCCAAGAATATGTATAATTGCTGCACATTAGTCATTACCTGTTGGCCAGCAGCACATTTCTTTCTAAATTGTTCTCTAGCTGCAAGCAACATACATTTATTCACCCTCGCGGCATCTCGCGTCCACAACGCCTGGTAACCGAACAGTCGACTTACCACAACAGTCAGCACCTGAAAATCATTATTTTATCATATGACAGATTATCAATTTTGAAACATTGACTGACTGATTAAAATTAAAAACTTCCTGAGCATTCTTACTCTGAGAAATTTTGTCTTAAAGAATTCGAGTTCATCTCCCAGTTTGATGACAATTTTCTCCACTTGTCTTTGATGTGTGTATGGCTTGATGTCAACCGAGTCTTCAGACCTTAGCTCAATGTTGGACACAAGCAAGTTTGAGATCACTTGTTGTACTGCCTGAAAAAGACAATGAATGATGGAAATAGCTATATTTGGTGGACAAATATCAAAGGGATTTGTATAGATATATCTAGTAGATATATAGTTGGAATGTGGAAAAGCATACCTTAATTCCATCACCAGGAGTGGCACTTAAAGCTAAAACTCGAAAATTCTGGGTGTAACCCAACACTTCTCGTACAACCTGAAAGTAGGTCATATATCAATCACAGGTGAAAACTTCAGTTGTACATGTGTTGGTGACTTGATCCAAAAAGTTAGTGCACATGCAAAAGTTAGTGATCCAAGCCCCAAAAATATAATGGGAATAAGACATTTTATAGTGTGAAATGTATTATAAATCATGTATATCCTGGGAATTGCTAAAACAAAAATTTGCTATGGTTATAGGTTACCCTAACCAGCTAAAAATATTAAAACTTGGTATACCCATCTTGCTGTTCACACTTGGAATGTACAATCGACCATGATAACCTAATTATAATTTCAGATGAGAAAAGTGTCTCTAGTTTGACCATACCAAGCACTGCAGGTATATTCTCAGTATTCTAGTTTCCTCATGTAACAATGCTGGAATAATTTAAAGGAATTTATGACCCTCAACAGACCTTTTATGCCAACTTTTTAAAAAACCACAAACCTGGCAATATGAATGGTTTCCAAGTGCCTTGTGAGCCTCATCAAACACAAGACAAACAACGTCATCAGCACGGCAAGATCCTCGGCTTAAATCATTCTGAAATACTTGTGGTGTGAGAAAAAATACTCTTTTTTCTTTCCACGCATTTTCTCGCTTTGTTGGGGCCATGTTACCTTGTAATAAGATATTAAATGTGATGCAGGTTTAACTAAAACCTGAATTAATCTTTTTATAAGGAGGGTATTTCTATTCAAGTTTTATATGTGTGAAATGGCAATTAACTATCTGGACACGAAAATCATCTGGCATTAGACAGAGTAAAATAATAAAGTGGGGCACATTAGGGCTTATTAACCTTTACGAGCACTCTCCTCTTAACAAGTAAAATCGTTTGGCAATAGACAAAGAAAATAATAAATTTAGGGCACAATTGCAACTTAATGGGTTAAATATTATTGGTCATAGCTAAAAGGGGCAAAGGTCAAAGCTTATTCACACAAAAACAACCAACTCTAGACTAGCTCTAATACCACGAAAAAATATTTCAATAATAATAAATGAATCAAATATTAACCAGTCATTTCAGCTGTATCTTGTCGTGGTATACCCATGATGTTATAACAAGCATCAATCTGTTGTGCAACAAGTGGTTTAGTTGGCGCCATGAATATAATCTTCCCTTGAGGATACCACCTGTAGAAATTATACATCACGACAGCTGCGATGAACGTTTTTCCAAGACCAGTCGGTAAAGTGACCAGAGTGTTGTGAAACAAAGCTTTTTGGACGATATTAAATTGATAGTCTCGTACTGGGTAGTTCGTTGGATAAATCCAAGAATTTCCAGCACTACAGTCAAAACCTGGGATGACGTCACATCCATCATCATTCGTACCAGCAGAAAAGGAAAGGTTACAAACGTCATGATTATTTTTAGCATTCTCACATTCTTCCATTTGATCAACGGCAGCAAGTAATTCATCATCATCATCACCACCAATGGTAATAAGATCTTCTAAACTTTCTCTATCCTCGCGTTTCTCCTGATGTGCCGCAGACGTACTTGTTGTGCTTGTGCCCCATGTTTCGAAAAGACTTGTGGAATTTTGTTTTTCTGGCTTTTTTGTTTGCTTATTCCACGTTTGAAATAATGTCTTTTGTCCAGAAGAACGGTTACATTTATTCATTGTTTTGAGAAAGAAGTAAGGCAGTTATTTCTGCCCCTACAGTCCGTTTAAATGTAAATAAACAAACGTGTCTTCCCAACGTTTTCTCCGCCATGTTTAATTCGCCATCATTACAAAATTTCGCGCCACAATTCTCGCGCGAAACTTTCGTGTGGTCCACGCACCCGCCCACGAGACTCTTACGAAGAATTAATTTTTCGAAAAAGAATGTTCGAGTGTTTGATATAGTTGCTCATCAGTTAACCGCTTTAGAGAGGCGCATTCGGGGTAAGGAGTGCAGTACCTTTGTGAGGTATGAACTATAGCGGTTTATAGATGATAGTTTACATTACCTCAGCAATATTTGAGGAACACTTCAATTGGAACGACAGTAATACATAAAAATAGGTACGCATTGCGTACATGTGGGTAGCCAAAAGTTCGATAAAAATAGATACAAACTGAGCAGGCTATGAAACTAGTAGACAGATCCAGAAGTATTATAAATATATAAATATATATATATATATATATATATATATATATATATATATATATATATATATATATATATATTTTGACAATCCCTGCATTACAATTAATTCTTGATAGCAATGGTACTTTAATAATTTAACTGAGGAAGAATTTGATTTTAATTGTTCAATACAGTGAGTTCATTCATTCACTATGTTCATTCATTTAACTATATTAATAATAGGACAAATGGCATTTCTAAAATTTGTCCATATTAGCACACTTTTCTACGAGCATGCCAAATAATCCAGTCATCTATTGTAAACATTTCAGTTGTAAAGATTTATGTCACAAAACATCCAGTTAAAGATTGCTGGTGTTTACTGTACTGCTGACTTTGAACAGAGTTCATGAAACATTTTTCTTGTTGTTTTGATACCATAATGATTGTTGTTGCCACTATTCCAACAATATTATCTCAATTTTTGGTTCCACCAACAACAGCGTTATCAGTAAGTAAATAACTCTGCTGTACTTGTTGTATTGAATATCCATACAGTATTTCTTCATGACAAGATTGTATATTGGAAAAAGTTCTGATCATATTGCATATTATCCAATATTATCACCAGTGTCCTGATACATTATGTGATTTCACTTATTAGCATATCATCCAAGGTGCTGTATGTTTTACTTGGTCGAAAGTAGTAGTTACTAACATAGGGATTGGTAAAAAATATTTACCTCTTGTTGAATGTTATGAAATGTTATGTGAAGCTATCGTTGACGTAACCAAGTTTGAAATGTTGCAATTGAATTGTAGGCATGTCTAAAAACAGAAAGAGTAAATACATTAGACTAACATAAAAACACATAGAAAAAAGAGAATGGGAAAAAGAAGGGAAGAGAAGGGAAGAAAAGAAGAAAAGAATGCTTACCTGTTAGAAAAAGTCATGCATTTCTAGTTTAAAATTAGGATATACATAATATATATAGTTTTGTTAGTTCAGTATGAATTTTATCCTCAATCAAATTTGTATATAAATGATCAAATAATGTTGCATTATCTGTAGTAAAACTTGATATCATTTGTCTGTAGTTATTTTCTAAGACCATGAGGTTATACAGTGACTGTCGCTCAGATTCCACCATCCAATTTACATTAAAGTCTCCAATAACAATACTTTGAGCAGACACATTTTCTTCATGAATGGTACGAAGTGAAGCAAGTAGCTGTGATAGAGCAATAAAAGTAAGAGTCGTAAATATTGTTGTTTAAATTACATTGCTGCTGGAGCAACCACAGGAACTGTTTATAAACTATTCTCAGGTTTTCGAGGGATTCTTGTAGGCGCTCTCTTCGGTGCTGGCATTTGTCACCTATATTGGGTTAACCATGCAAGCACTGGGGCATTTTATTCCATATGAAAAAGTGTTGAAAGATGAAATAGCTGTACAAAATGCCAAGAAGAAACAGCAGTTGGAAGTGACAGAAAAGATTTTGTATAGAATGGAAAACGAATACGAAAATTCTAAAAATATTTAAGATATTTGTTGTCAATAAATATTTATATATTGAATGGATGTGAAATTATATAAAGAATACTAATAGGGCAGTGTATCTATTGAATTTGTAGTGGTGTTTGAAGCAGTTTAATAAACTTGCAGGTTGTGTTTTATTAGGGCTAACGCCACTCGTGCTGTGCACTTGTACCGACTTTAACCCATTGAGTCACATTGCGCCCTGATGCAACCTACTTTATAATTTCACTCTGCCTAATGCCAGACGATTTTAAACGTCAATGGGAGAGCACTGGTGCTTAATGGGTTAACTGGCCTATCTGCCCATGCATCTATTTAACCCATTGCACCCTACTTTATTATTTTACTCCTAACGCCAGACGATTTTACTCGTCAAGGGGAGAGCACTGGCACTTAATGGATTAAACCTAATAACACACTCCTGCTCGTTTATAAACAGTAATGTATCTAAAAATGTATCTTTACTACTTGTTTATGTTATATCAAATTTAAAAACTCTGTCTAATGCCAGACGATTTTACACGTCAATGGGAGAGCACTGGCGCTTAATGGGTTAACTGGCCTATCTGCCCATGCATCTATTTAACCCCATTGCGCCCTACTTTATTATTTTACTCCTAACGCCAGACGATTTTACTCGTCAAGGGGAGAGCACTGGCACTTAATGGATTAAACCTAATAACACACTCCTGCTCGTTTATAAACAGTAATGTATCTAAAAATGTATCTTTACTACTTGTTTATGTTATATCAAATTTAAAAACTCTGTCTAATGCCAGACGATTTTACACGTCAATGGGAGAGCACTGGCGCTTAATGGGTTAACTGGCCTATCTGCCCATGCATCTATTTAACCCCATTGCGCCCTACTTTATTATTTTACTCCTAACGCCAGACGATTTTACTCGTCAAGGGGAGAGCACTGGCACTTAATGGATTAAACCTAATAACACACTCCTGCTCATTTATAAACAGTACTTAAACTATCTGGCGTAGTGCTGACAATGAACCTGAGTTGCATCAGTAATACTTCACACATTTTGTAGATAGTTAGAAATACTTGGTACAAAGTTTACCTATTTTGCATTTAGGTACAAGGTTGATCTCAAATTTCTTAAAGTGTGGATTTTAATATAGCGTTGGCGGGTCTCCTTGCTGCGCTCACACGTTCTCGATCACTTCTTACAATGCCATAAGAGCTACAAAGACAAGTTACAGAGAAGGGGGTTTATATTCAGAGGTTTATTGTATATTACTGTCAAACATTTCATATATCCTACCTGAATCATACAATTCAAGACAATATATACACACTTCCAGAGAAGAAGCGCAGTAATAATAAAAGCATTTATTTAAACACGATGGTAAATTTACAGATAGCTGATGTGGTCATGCACATGAAATTAACTACAATATATAAATATAAACATAGATACATGTAAGTGATCTAACAGAACAACAAATTACACATCACATAACTGAGATACTGACCCTTGGCCATCCTTTTCGTGATTGGCATTAGGCTTTATAGCCAATGTGGGATACTTTCCAGAAGGGTGCATCCTGTATACAAGAATATACAAGGCTAAAGGAAGTTAATTATTAATTAATAGGATTCATAACTGACATATTAAGAAATTAAACTATTATGAACTTTCCTCCTCTGACGATTGAAACAAGCTTTAGAGAATATTTTCTCATCAACTATCGTCAAAAAAGAAAACTAAACAGTACAAGATATAAAAATATAAAGGTTTTCACCTTTTGTATCACTACTAGAAAGTAGAAACCAACGGCGGTGCGACTTCTTGGTTTTATAATAAAATTTGACGATGTAGATTTCACTTCGCCTCCATCTTTTCCAGTCGATTTATCGCCTTAGCTAGATATACTCTTAAATTTCTACCTTGAACAAGCAAATACATGTGAATAATATGTATTTACTTTAATATTTTCACTATTAAAAACAAGGTTGTGTACAAAAATTTCAAATTTCTGAGCCGTCGCGCACATGTCTCGAACTCGCGGGACCGGCGCGAAATTTCCCTGCGTTCTGATTGGACAATGCCCACGCATGCGCTACGTCTACCAGTGTCAGATTATCGCGCATGCGTTCATTTCAAAGGTTCGGCAAACACCGGAGCTAAAGCGTCCCACATGCACCACACCGGGCGACTGTTACGTACATATATACCGAAACGTTACTATTACTTATGTGTGGTAGTTACCGATCATAGGATCTTGCGAAAAGGGTGCCAGGCATAATGGTCTGGGGGCCGCCGGCACCCTCCCCCGTAGTTCGTTCGAAACCGGTTAGTAACTCCACCTATTGAAAACCGCCTCTGACGATAGCGTTGAGTTTAGCCGAAATCTAGCTCAAACGTAACATACGGCGTTCTAGCGGTTAGCACGAGACGGACTTGACCGATACGGGCTAACAGAGTCGGGAAGTATGGGCTGATGGGGCACTTTTCTTTCTAAATATTTTATTTGTAATTTACCCTACGGTATAAAACAGACAAAAACAGATCTTTTATTAGATTTTTATAAGTTAGATAAAAGCACAAAACAGACCGCTAAGCTAAGGCGCTATAAACTTTTTTAGTCGCAACTCAATTGTCAATTGATCGGTAAATCAAATTTACTAAAAGCGGTGTGTTGTGTGCTTTTATCTAACTTATAAAAATCTAAAAATGTATCTTCACTACTTGTTTATGTTATATCAAATTTGAAAACACAATATAAAACCTAAATTAAAATATTTTAAGTTCTATTAAAAGGTAAAGTTTCACGCCAGGAGTACCAGCTATTTCACCATTTTGTAGGCACCTGTCTACTTTCTGGTCCGCCTTCATTTTAACCAATCAGATCACGATCCAAAAAAGCTCGTAATCTGATTGGTTAAATCAAGTGATCCGTTAATCCCACCAAGCTTGTAAGAGTTTACACTTTTAATTTATACAATCAAAATCAACATGTTTTTAAAACATCATCGATAAAATTCTATGGATACAAACTAAGCATTTTAATAAAAGGCCCGGTACACTCAGTGCCGGATTATCTAAGGGGCATTTCTCGCCGGCCCTAGATTTCCATCGTCGGTTAATTTAAAGCAATTAGCATTTCTCACGAGTCACGCCGCCACTTTTGCGGTACTTTTTTGCCAATCCTGCAAGCGTAACATCGCGTATTAATTAAAAAAACGCGACATTTTATAATTTTATGGGTGTTAGAAGTTGTGACCGCATGCTTGGACACTCCAGGTAACCACTGATCTAACACCAACACAGAAAAGTCACTGATCTATAATTCTGATAAAATACTAACATTTTTGCTGTTTGGGTGTAATAAACTATTAGTAAATTCCCACTTGATTTTTATCTGGTAGATGTCAGACCCGGTGATTGACAATGGAAAGCATAACACATTTTGGGGTCGAGTTAAGCGGGCATTTTCTAAAAACGAATATGGGGAAATCCGGCCAGAGATTGCACATATTCCTGCGGTTCTTTGGTTGGAATGATGGTGGGTGGTCGGTATGGCACTCGGATACGGGTTGCTTCAAACATCGCTTAAGTAACCAACTGACCGTATATACATTGTGTGCACAAGCCGAAAGGGATCACTTCTCAGCAATATTGCTAGGATTTTTCAATATGGTTGCCGTTGGGGTTGGAGAACAGGACTTTACTCTGGCATATATAGTACGACACTCACTGCTGTGTCTATTGGTCGAGATAAGGAAGATGCATTGAATTACATTGCTGCTGGAGCAACCACAGGAACTGTTTATAAACTATTCTCAGGTTTTCGAGGGATTCTTGTAGGCGCTCTCTTCGGTGCTGGCATTTGTACACCTATTGGGTTAACCATGCAAGCACTGGGGCATTTTATTCCATATGAAAAAGTGTTGAAAGATGAAATAGCTGTACAAAATGCCAAGAAGAAACAGCAGTTGGAAGTGACAGAAAAGATTTTGTATAGAATGGAAAACAAATACGAAAATTCTAAAAATATTTAAGATATTTGTTGTCAATAAATATTTATATATTGAATGGATGTGAAATTATATAAAGAATACTAATAGGGCAGTGTATCTATTGAATTTGTAGTGGTGTTTGAAGCAGTTTAATAAACTTGCAGGTTGTGTTTTATTAGGGCTAACGCCACTCGTGCTGTGCACTTGTACCGACTTTAACCCATTGAGTCACATTGCGCCCTGATGCGACCTACTTTATAATTTCACTCTGTCTAACGCCAGACGATTTTACACGTCAATGGGAGAGCACTGGCGTTTAATGGGTTAACTGGCCTATCTGCCCATGCATCTATTTAACCCCATTGCGCCCTACTTTATTATTTTACTCCTAACACCAGACGATTTTACTCGTCAAGGGGAAAGCACTGGCACTTAATGGATTAAACCTAATAACACACTCCTGCTCGTTTATAAACAGTACTTAAACTATCTGGCGTAGTGCTGACAATGAACCTGAGTTGCATCAGTAATACTTCACACATTTTGTAGATAGTTAGAAATACTTGGTACAAAGTTGACCTATTTTGCATTTAGGTACAAGGTTGATCTCAAATTTCTTAAAGTGTGGATTTTAATATAGCGTTGGCGGGTCTCCTTGCTGCGCTCACACGTTCTCGATCACTTCTTACAATGCCATAAGAGCTACAAAGACAAGTTACAGAGAAGGGGGTTTATATTCAGAGGTTTACTGTATATTACTGTCAAACATTTCATATATCCTACCTGAATCATACAATTCAAAACAATATATATTACACGCTTCCAGAGAAGAAGCGCAGTAATAATAAAAGCATTTATTTAAACACGATGGTAAATTTACAGATAGCTGATGTGGTCATGCACATGAAATTAACTACAATATATAAATATAAACATAGATACATGTAAGTGATCTAACAGAACAACAAATTACACATCACATAACTGAGATACTGACCCTTGGCCATCCTTTTCGTGATTGGCATTAGGCTTTATAGCCAATGTGAGATACTTTCCAGAAGGGTGCATTCTGTATACAAGAATATACCAGGCTAAAGGAAGTTAATTATTAATTAATAGGATTCATAACTGACATACTAAGAAACTAAACTATTATGAACTTTCCTCCTCTGACGATTGAAACAAGCTTTAGAGAATATTTTCTCATCAACTATCGTCAAAAAAGAAAACTAAACAGTACAAGATATAAAAATATAAAGGTTTTCACCTTTTGTATCACTACTAGAAAGTAGAAACCAACGGCGGTGCGACTTCTTGGTTTTATAATAAAATTTGACGATGTAGATTTCACTTCGCCTCCATCTTTTCCAGTCGATTTATCGCCTTAGCTAGATATACTCTTAAATTTCTACCTTCAACAAGCAAATACATGTGAATAATATGTATTTACTTTAATATTTTCACTATTAAAAACAAGGTTGTGTACAAAAATTTCAAATTTCTGAGCCGTCGCGCACATGCCTCGAACTCGCGGGACCGGCGCGAAATTTCCCTGCGTTCTGATTGGACAATGCCCACGCATGCGCTACGTCTACCAGTGTCAGATTATCGCGCATGCGTTCATTTCAAAGGTTCGGCAAACACCGGAGCTAAAGCGTCCCACATGCACCACACCGGGCGACTGTTACGTACATATATACCGAAACGTTGCTATTACTTATGTGTGGTAGTTACCGATCATAGGATCTTGCGAAAAGGGTGCCAGGCATAATGGTCTGGGGGCCGCCGGCACCCTCCCCCGTAGTTCGTTCGAAACCGGTTAGTAACTCCACCTATTGAAAACCGCCTCTGACGATAGCGTTGAGTTTAGCTGAAATCTAGCTCAAACGTAACATACGGCGTTCTAGCGGTTAGCACGAGACGGACTTGACCGATACGGGCTAACAGAGTCGGGAAGTATGGGCTGATGGGGCACTTTTCTTTCTAAATATTTTATTTGTAATTTACCCTACGGTATAAAACAGACAAAAACAGATCTTTTATTAGATTTTTATAAGTTAGATAAAAGCACAAAACACACCGCTAAGCTAAGGCGCTATAAACTTTTTTAGTCGCAACTCAATTGTCAATTGATCGGTAAATCAAATTTACTAAAAGCGGTGTGTTGTGTGCTTTTATCTAACTTATAAAAATCTAAAAATGTATCTTTACTACTTGTTTATGTTATATCAAATTTAAAAACACAATATAAAACCTAAATTAAAATATTTTAAGTTCTATTAAAAGGTAAAGTTTCACGCCAGGAGTACCAGCTATTTCAACCTCGTACCCAGGGTCCCCGTGTTTAAAGGTTCTGGTGCACGTGGAGGGACCCTGGCAAACTCTGACTGCCAGGTTACCAAATAATCCAAAAATCTTGGAGTATTTGTCGACCTGGCCTTTTTTAGCATTGGCATAACGGGGGGGAAGACTCATAATAAAAAATATTTCACAAACTGCAAGTTTTTATCAAAGTCAGCTGTTTAAAAGGATTTTTATTGCACCTGTCGTACGATTTATCAAATTTTGATATCATATGTGATATTTTGAAGTGGAAAGTCATTCAATTACTGGTTAATATCGAAGAATTTGAACTCATGATCCGCCATCATGCCATGGAAATGTATATATAAATCTATATACAGAGCTCTGGTTGAAAAAACTAGGTACTGTGTTAAATACCACCATTAGGTAACAAATATATTCTCATACTGTATATAATGTTTACTCAAATTTGAATGTCTACAAATTGTTCTTTCCCATTGCAATTTGCGGCTTCTTATGCTATGCTTTTCAAGCCATGGAAAGACTTCATGTCAATTTTAAAGTCCACTTGTTGGCGTAGCTTGGCTTTATCTCAAATGGTTTGATCTTCTTCGGGTCCTGTACCATTATTACTTACTTAGTCTCTTCACATCTTAGATCTGAGACCTTGTTCAAAATTTTGTGAAAAGAATTTGATGACTTGAAGTACAAGAGGAGTTTCTTCTTGTTGATGTTGTTTCTTAATTAGCCATCACCATCTTTGCATGATGATCATGCAGTTGCGCATCAAGAACACAGCTAGCTCTATCATGTTTAAACCGTACAACCAGGGGCGTAAATGTGGGGGGGTGGTTCACCCCCCCAGAGAAATGATCCAGTCGGTTTCAAACTTCGTGCAGTCGGTCTCAAAATTATGCGTTTGTTTACACGCAGTGTTTTGCGAAGCAAATGAAATATTTTCGAAACTCGAGATAGACTCAAACTATTGAGTATTGAGTTGGAAATTTGCTCAAACGGATCAAACAGCTCAGAAATAATATGAAGAAATATTACGTACTTATTTCGCGAGTTTATGAACGAATTATCAGTCAAAACACGCGCAAAGGGATGAAGTTTCCATTTACTTTCCAAACATGGAGATATCTACTTTACGATTACGTGTTGGCACTTTTATTCGGAATTTAGGTTCTGCAACGTCATTCACGGGTGATATTCTATATTAGCGAAAATTTCAAACCACCAAAATCAGACTCCAAAACGCGATGAATCTCGATCAAAATAGCTAACATTAGTTACAATATTTCTCCGGTCCCGAAACTATATTTTTAAGATGCAAAGTGCAAAAACGAATTTCTAGCCGAGTTATATTAGGAAGTATGTTCACATGTAACACAATATGCATATGAATTTTGTTACCAAAGAGTTTTTTGTGCCTACTGCAATCAAGAAATTATTAACGGAGCGAAAAATTGTTTCCACTGACTAAGCGATGTTTCCAATTGTTGCTTACAGTCAGGCTCATAACTAGGTATATGAGTCAATCGAGTTCAAGTTCAATGACAGACTGTAGTTCTCTCCATGTAAAGAAGCATTATCCTTGCCCTACCGTGACGTAAGAAATGGGAGGCTGTGTGGGTGCACAAGTACCCCAATAACAAAAGTGCGGGCCAGCGCCCAAATATTACAACAATTGAGCACAAACGCTTTTTTTATTATGCACCTGATCAATGATGTTCGACTAAAAATTTTTGTAATTCTTATCCTCATGATTGGGGGCAAACTACAGTATAAAATTATATTCATTGTGTCACTGTAATATGAAATTGATTTTTCCTTTGAACTGCTCCCAGAATGCAGGAAATAGCGTTTCTAAGCCTTAGAAAATCAAAAGTGTCTCAGTCAATCAAAAATCCTATCGTTACGCGCCTGACAGTTCCGCATCAGCCGAGCGCAGCTTTTCAAAGCTGAAATCAGTGAAAACTGTTATGTGTCCATGCTTTGTACTCAATTTTATTGCAACACACCAACTCACCAAGAGTCGGTCTGGATTCACATTTCAGTGGTGGGTCGGTCTCATTTCGTGACTACACCCTCCCAGTCAAAATCGATATGTCCGCCCCTGCGTACAACCTATCATAGTTTGAAAACATTTACACCATAATTATTATTCAAACTGCCAAGATGACTAAGTATCAGACAAATTGAAAATTAAAGTTATAGCAATTTCAAAACTGAATTGAATAGTCAAATTGTTAAATTATTAATTAATATATTGTTTAATTTATATATTATATTAATACAGTAAATAATATTTAAGTTTGAGTAAACATTATATGCAGTATGAGAATATATTTGTTACATAATGGTAGTATTACACTACCTGATAGTGTTTTTTTTTTATCCAGAGCTTTGCAGTATAGTATATAGATTTATACATTTCCATGGTGGATCATGAGTTCAAATTCTTCTATATAAACCAGTAATTGAATGACTTTCCACTTCAAAATATCACTTGTGATATCAAAATTTAATAAATCATGTACCAAGATCAAACATATTGGTTAACCCCTTATGCGGCAGCACTCTCCCCTTGACGAGTAAAATCATCTGGTGTTGAATCATCTGGCATTAGACAGAGTACATAGTAAAGTAGGGCGCAATGTGACTGAGTGGGTTAACTGGACACATGGGCAGTTAGGCCAGTTAACCATTAAGCCCCAGCATGATCTCCCCTTGATGAGTAAAATCATCTGATCATTCTGGTGTTGAACAGAGTAAAATAATAAAGTAGGGTGCAATGCGACTCAATGGGTTAAAATTTAAATGCCAGCTAAATTTTAAACAGCTGACTTTGATAAAAACTTATATTTGTAAAATATTTTTGATTTTGAGTCCCCCCCCCCCAGTATGCCAATAATGCCATTGCCAAAAAAAGGCCAGGTCAAAGATTTTTGATTATTTGGTAACCTGACAATCGCAGTTTGCGTTGGGTTAGTTGTTTCAAAATGTGACCATATTATGTCAGCTGAAGATATGTTTGTGAGCTTTGAAATTCCGGATATGCAGCATGCATATACCAGCATGCATATACTTTTTTAAGATAATTACTGACCTTTGTGAGAAATAGGTACAAGTTCAATTACAATTTGTTATGTTAGTTATATATTATAGTTTCTATTTTTGAGTGATCTATTGCCAGTATGTATAGTATAAGACAAACATGCCCAAGCTTTTCCTTGTCACATTTTGAGCTGGGTTGTTCATATTGAATAAAGATCGCTTTGGGGGGGGGGCTGAC